TGTTGCTATCCGCCTCTGGTGCTACCGATTTTAGGACGCACGCCGAAACTACGCAGTTTGAAGTAGATAGGAAAACTGATGGGTATACGTACAAAGAAGAATAGGTATTGCTGTTACAACGTCATGGCGAGGGCGTGGGTGTTGCTGTTGGTGGTACCACGATATCGTTGACGTCGTCGAAGCCAAATAGCAGTGCAGATTCTGAAAGGCGGACGGTTGCGTGGAGCTGGATAGAACAGAGGAAGGAGATTTCCCTCAGCGTAGTGATAATTATTGCTCGTTGCTTTTACGTGGGTCGTCGTCGTGTCTCCACTAGATCCTGAAGAAGGCAACGCGTGGCAATGGCCGTTACCTCTATCTTGTAGTCTTACTTAAGTTCGACCATAATCAGAATGATAATGGTGAAAATAATAATGGACAAGAGCGTAGTATAGGAGGACAAAATTACACTTTGTTTTTTATAAAGAGGATCATAATCATCACAATCATGATTTATTATTGTTAATGGTTTCTTCTTTCCGATTTTCTTAACACGAGGGCGGTGACCAGTGAAATCTCGTTACTTGTCTCGCAGTGTGCGGGTTTGAGTACATTCTATGTGGTACGCTAGGTTACACTCGTTACGCGCATCCATTCACAATGTATTGGAATATGTTTCAGGTACTATGCTGCTATTTTCGCCTACCAGCTTCTCTGGCCGAGTAAATCAGTTTCAAAATATTAATCTCGTTTGTTCATGCAATATTATACACATGTGTGTACATTTCTGCACATATACAATGAATATTTGATCTTGATGTTATTTCAATGCTATTGATTATTTTTAAATGTTATTTGGATTGAATAAAGACGGAACTGTCCCTAAGCGTTTCAATATTGGCTCCAACAACACACAAAAGTGTATAAGTACGAAAATGTCAGAACACTAGCTATTTTAACCGCATGCCTTACCAGTATACTAAATGCGCATTTATACACATCGATTTACTCAAGTAAAACCCTCCTATATTAAGTAAACACATAAACTGCTTGTTTGCCCAGTTAGCTTTTCGTGGCTAGAATGGCCTTGGTTTGAAATCTCTCATAGGCTGGCATCATAAACTAGTTATCCTTGGGAGCTCATTTGGAAAAGACGATATTTTCGGTTTACGTCGAACTTTTAAGCTTCTTTCTTTAAGTAACAAAGCCGCTGTTGGAAGTCATGCACTTCCACGCCAGTGGTTACACCCATCTGCCTTATTTGCAGGACAAAACGCGCCCGTGAATTTGCCTGTATCTACTAAATTTTATAAGACTTGATTCAAATTGTGTTAAATTTCCATTAGTATGTTCATTAGACGTACGCATCATTGAAAAAAAAGAGGCATTCGCTTTTTACGAACGACCGTTACAACGCTTGAACGCGTACTGTAATAGTCTGAGATCAAACACCAGAGAGCGCCATCATAGTAGTAAAAGCAGCACACCATAATATATCATATCATATGCCGGTCGCTACATAGTTATTTCTACAATAGACTCAGCTACTCCGTGCACAAAAGCATTAGCCGTGGCAGTCTTTGTCGCCATCGTCATTACCTATCGTTGTACCACGTGCTCTAGCGCGTGTTCTATCGCCACCTCGCCCCCTGCTATGGCTGTTGCGTACTACCATGTTGATAGTTGTGTATTGCGTTGAAGTTGCACAGCTGTCACAATCGCTGATTTCTCAACGTTGTTTTGGCGATGCCCGTTAGTCATGAATTGTCGCCAGCGTATCTCCCTCACCGTTTGTTCATCTGCACGGCGCTGCGCAACCCTACTACGCTACCAGGATAACCGTCGTAGTAGCAGCAGAGCTGTGTATATGCGAAAAAAACACTTACACGCTTGCCTGGTTATTGCAGACAGCAGTTTCCTGGTTAGCATCCTACCAGAGTATGTCTGTCTTATTGTAAAAGGAGTATCCGCTCTTTTTTTACGTCGAGCGATTAGCGTTGCCTTTGACTGGCCGCGTTTTTGCAGGATTGCTTGTTTGCAGATGCAAATAACGTGTGTGGAATTGAATCTACTAACAGAGTGGAACGGTACTTGTGCCTCACATTGCCAGACATTTCGGCGTTAGTTGCCGAGCTGAACCGAACGTCCCTTTCAAGGCAAACGATAGATGGATTTTGTGTACCAGGGCTTATCGCCAGGTAGCAGATCACCACCACGCACCTGAAACTGACAAAAAAGTGTCGTCCAATTGGCGCGTGCGATGACTGGCTAACTCCTTATGATACTAACTGGATTGTTGATTGATCTACTGTTGTTCGGTCATAGACCGCTAGGCGACGCCGTCATCGCGGCGGTCATTGCCCTCGTCGTATGCGCTACAACTGAAAAAGATATGACTTAGACTTTTTTCGCTAAAGCAGAAAAAGAGAGAGTCAAGGGAGAGAGAACTGAGGTTGATGAGACCTAAGCGGCCATGCTGCAGTTGCTGCAGAGGCGGCACTTTTAATAATCGAACGATGTCGAAACACTGCTATCAGTGTTATAAGGGCTCTTGTTGCTGTTGTCGCCGTTACTGGTCTGAAGGAATCGGTGGATATCAAAATATGTAGTTGCATGAAATTGGTCAGCGGTGAATAGTAGACGAATAAACAAGCATTGACGTCTTATGTCGGCTATCCAGTGCCTTATAGATGCTAACACTTGTACAGAATCCTTAAGCCAATTCAGTAGGCTCTCGTGTATATAATTAAGTCTGCATGTATTCGCATTCTTAAGCTGGATCACAGACGACCACCGTGGTGTGGTTTTAGCTACCCTGCCGCGGCAACAGCCGTGGTGTATTAACACTTCTTCGACTCTTCTAACATTGATGCTGTACATTACCTGAATCGATGAGGCGATTATTTGGGCATATTGACATACAGCTGTCTTTTCCTCTTTCCTCATTCTAAACCTTTGTGTCACTCGAGAGTGAGCTCGCTCTCTGATATTAGACAAAATCGGTATGGTAAACCTTCACCATTACTCACCCTCGTGCCTGTTTCGGCACGAGGGTGAGTAATGGTGAAGGTGGATGGTGCCGTCGGTAACAACGTCGTTGTGAGATGCGTCCTTTCCGACGTTCTGGGTCTGTTAAAAGAAAGAGTAGATTTTTTTATAGGGAGAACCGCGCCCGTAATGGGGTTATGTAGAGCGATGAATGATGAGTCTCTTTAGCGTTTTGCATGGTTCTGGATCTTCAGTATGTGCGGCTGGGGCCTCACAGTTTCTGCAAAACAATCGCGCTGTCCTTTTCCGCCATCACGCGTGTGCAAATACATGCGACATCGACTAAGTGGAAAGATAAGGCGTAGCTTTTGACACCAACAGAAGGTCATCTGGAACAGTAATTTAGTCATACAGGTCTCGCATGACCTGGAAAGGGAAATTCCTACGTTGCTAGTAGATAATCTTAAAGACCCATCGAATGGCAAACGGAGAGGCTTTTGCTGACTTCCATGTTTCCCAAGACCTCATAGTGATCCAAAATTCAAATTTTTAACGTACGCGTTTTTTAATAAGTTCTGTAACGATAATATATCGATCTTTCCATCGTTTGTCATACTGACCAAGATTCAACGTATCTGCAATTCCAAACTGTTACGAGGTGATTGCCGCCTATCTTATATAACATGAGAGCGGCAGGGTAAACCACGCTCAGGCAACGGGGAATTGTCAATGTTGATGTAGAAAAGGGCGGGCACTTACGTTAAACACAATACAGCCTCCACAATCGTTGCTTCGTGAGGTAAACGGTGACAACTATTGCACACGAAACAACAATTTAAACTGGTAGAGAACAATAAATATTCAAAACGAACACGAGACGAAGCTCGAGGCTGTTAATATTCGAACTAGATACGATTGATATCACAATGGATACACGTCAACGGCATGATTTGACGTCAGATTTGGCTACATGTTCTCTAACAGCTTTTGCAACGAATCCATTTTTATAGCAACTTGCAGTTCAAGTTTGCTTCAGGTACCTTCCTGTTTCTGTTGTTTACTCTTAATCTTGTCCCTCGATAGTCCATCTGTCTAGTAAACAGGATAATGCCTTCGGAGTCCTGGGCACACGATGACGACGATTTTAACAAAATAAATAAGTGAACAACAACACATGAATTAACATACGCCTTTTCATGTGCCGGTCAGCGCCCTGATAAACAGACAGTACCGAATACAAATCGCTAAATCTATGATAGTTAATCGAATTTTATCAACAAATAAAAAGTCCATAAATAAAGGTTGCTCCTGATTCTGAGAATATATCGTCGTATCATCCTTGTGCCATAATCTGATAAAGTTTAAAACATTGCTATAAGTACTGTAGCGCACTTACGTCGTTTAGTTATTATTACTGGAATATAATACCCTCTCAACGAATAGGTAAACATCTTCATCTACGTCAGCAACGAAAAACTACGAAGTGTTGTGTTCAAGATTAAGCCTGTTGGCTAGGCTAACGGCAACCTCTGTATGAACGAAAACGACCTTTAAGCCTTCCTGTCATGAATATATAGTGCGAGGCGATATAATGAATGGATTATTCATGACTGCTACCAGCACGAATAGTCGGGCTTGGCTGTCGTAATCAAAATCGCATTCTACATGTTTTGACTTCCCCTAGGTGTAACAGACTATAAGAGACAGGTCTATTAGACAATAACTAAAAAGCACGGAAAATTGAAAATAGTGTCGTCCGTAGTTACTACGTTTCTTTCCGTGTATTATAATATATCTCGTACATGTTTTATTCGAGTCAGCATTTGGCAGGCATGTTCCTAAATAAGATGTTGATCAGGGTATGAGTTACATCTTGATACTTATATGTATATTAGAACTGGGCCTTGTTTAAAGTAAAATGTATTCTCGCATGCGTTACTTTTTATGCTTAGTATTTAATATTGAGACAGCGATGCTATTGATTATGTTATAATTAATTTTACTTGTTCCTTTCCGACGAAAATCTTTTTCAGGTACCCGTGTCGTATATGAGCGTGCTTTTCTATTATCCCTTCAGCAGTCCCCGCTGTCACGAACCCCACCAACGCTGCCGATGATACCAGGATTTACATTGCCAAAGGTATTGTAGGCATTTAGGGGTGTTCCCCTTACGTTTTTGCCATGGTTCAATTCAGAACTTTTAGCTCATGCGTCTGTTGTCGCTCCTAAGGGGTAGCCATAATTAGCGGTCTAGAATTGTTTCTGATTCGTGAATAACATGTCAGATGCCTTTCCTGTGTTGATATATCTATCAATTCTACCCAAGACATCGATATGCATCGAGCAGTTGTTCTGCTCCTATAATGTAGGTCACAGAAATGTCTTAATCTCTTGTGCTTCTTGCCGATTCATGTTAGGTCATCTGCGATACTCAATAAAGTATATTTTCTGCATTACAAATTGAGTAACTTTGTCGGCAAATGTATGTGTACATATAGTGTGTGCAGCACGGTCGAATGCGATTGACTATGAATGTTTGGTCTCGTTTCTAGGATCAAACTGAGAAATGATAGGGTGTCAGTGTTTGTAATGTAAAACCTAGTTACAATGCACGTCCAATGGTTCTTGGTATGTGATTCTCGAATTTGTTTAGATTTAAGATGCAATACCAGGTTAGTATTATTAATCATACAAGTCTTGGCAAACATAGGTTTTTCCAATGCCGGATACTTATGGAATTATTATTTATGGCAGTGTTTCTAATTATTTCTAAATAATTTAGGTTTATTGGCACATTCATTGTTAGCGGAATGCCATGTTCCTTTAGGAGCTTAGTCTATTCGTGTCTTTACCCCGCATGTTTAAACAGACATAGAAAAAGTACAACCTGAATTTTACCTGTATTCCGATATGCTTTTCAGGGGAGTCCACACTCGGTGTCACCGAAAAAGACATCATGTAGTCCTTCACCTCGGGCGGCCACTACGGTGTCAAGTAAAGCTGGTAAGATTTATGCGTTTGCATTTGTCGATGTAACTTCAGCTCACGGCTAACTCGACTAACTACTGAATTAGTTTTTTTAGTAACAATCAGAACACAACTGAACAAGCATTATAAATAACACTGATAACCCCGTCCATCAGCCGTCCAGGATGCGTAGACTGTTTTTTAAGCTAAACATTTACTCACGCCGAATGCAATAAAAGGCTTTATTAAAAGCAAGAGCAGATTAACCGTTTGTGAATTCACTGGTTGTCCGCTCCAAAGAGTCACACAACTGACCAAAAGAATACAACGTCTTAAAGACTCAACCTAATCTAATTTTGTCGGTTGGGACTTCGGGTAAGAGAATCTAAGGATACTGTATTTGGCAGAGGGTCCTCCTTAAAATTCGAGAATCAAACGCTGTTATTCAGATGGAATCTTACTCTTTTTACCCTCTTGGATTGAGAATACATCCGACCTAGCAGTATTCTATAATGAGCTGTATACGAGCCTTAGACTCGCGGAGTTAGATCTTGCAGTAGAGCACAATATGTACATCTGTAGAAATGGCAAATAACAAATCCTTATCTTCCAGACGGTCCACTGTTGCATCTTTCTCCCCAGTCCTTATAGACACGTATATATGTGACTTACATAACAATCCTAATGAAACCTGACCGTGTGTTCGATCCCTATAAAAAAGCGTTCGATTCGGGCTGGTGAAGCTTGCGGCGACTTATGTCGTAACTGTTCTCCTGCATGTTTACTACGCTGGCCAAATGGCCACATTCACCATCACATGTGAGTCATCGACGTAGAGAGGTACAGCTGCGGGCTACGCCAGACAGACCGGCACATGGGGCTCACTGTCTGGGTGTGTGTATGTGCGCGTACAGCTAAACAACGCCGACTAGAAGTCACCATACATAGTTGTATAACAATCAGACGCCAGCATCAAAGAACGTCTTCCAGATTCTGTTCTGCTGTATCTTTACCGGTCTTCCTGTCTTACTTCCTGTCTGTCTTAGTGCCGTAGCAGAGAATCTGCAATCCACTTGAAGCCCGGCGTTGTGCTGTGGACCAGTTTTTGTGTTGCTATTTGGAGGGATGTTAGAAAACCGCTGTCAACACTGCCATTTGCTGATAGTAGAATATCCTCAGCTTCCAGTTGCCTCTAATCCAGACGTATGGCCGTTTAAGCAGCAACCGGTAAACAGACAGCAATGATTGTTGTAAGTTCCTCAATTCTGTCTCTACCTTCCAAATTCGCGGTCATCGTCATTGATACTTGCGCAATGGCATCGACCTACGGCGTCTTTGAGCGTCTCTCTGGCTATCGTAGCGGCAGCAAAATCAAATTCACGACGAAACAGTAGATACTCCTGAATCTGTTAACCAGAAAGTCCAATGCGAATCTATGATTTGAGATAGAATAAAAGTAGAGCTATGGGCAGTAAGAAACGCAATGGAGTTTGAGTCATAAATAGAGGGAAGTTCGCTAGACTGGATAGGCTGACAGGTAAAATACTTGTTTCTATCAGTTATAGCTGCGGTAACAACAGTGACTGCATGCGCCGGTCAATTTAGTCAACGTTATTCTACCATCTGTGCAATAATAATTGCTTGTCAGGAGCGCTAGGAATGTTGAACAGTAAAGGGAATGCCAGTAGGCCCTTCTGAATGATTGCGAACGACCCAAGAGGCCCCAACTGGAAAGCCTAAAAAATACAGACAACGTACTATATTACGCTGTGTCTAATTTAGTTAGTACGGCTGCACCAGCTAGCTGGATATATTAGTGACCTAATAAAAGTATTAAGCTGTCCACGACTACCAAGAAATGATACGTGAAGATCATAAAATAGTGGCTCAGTTAAAAACAACAATACATTGGAATTAGTTGCAAAAGTTAATTCGTTATTTCACGGGTAGTAAAGTTAATCTATATTCATTCAGTGCAACAGGATACCCTGCGCATACATCCTTTCGCCGTTTCCAGAGTGAGCTTTTTTAAATCGTCGCTTGAATGCTAACATTATCCTAACTTTGGTAGAGTTTTTATTGACGTAAGGGTTCGAGTAAGTTCGCCCGTGTACGGTCAGGAGTCCATAAACCACGTACAATATCCTCTTTTTTAGAAGCATTTTGTCATGCCACTTGCTAACCGTTATGATAGACAAATCTAGTACTGATTTCAAACAGTAAGTAAAAAGATGCTACTCCTAAACAAACGTTTGTCATAGCTGTTCGGACAAAAATAAGTCCTAATTTAGTTAGTTGTTATACACAGGACTATTTATAAAATACATTACAAACACAAGCTAAAAGTTTAGCTAGCGAATTTCAAATTATCAAATTTTTACGGATGAAGGAAAGAGAAAATTTCCATAAAATCCTGTATTTAATATTTAAGTTGGTCATATGAATATAGCTAACTTTTTCTTATACGCTCCGTATTAGTGTTTACATAAAAGCCGTATGTAGCACACTATATATTCAAGCTAGTGGTACCAATGACAATATAATTAACAGTGTTGTTATTCTGATTTTCTAGCTGTTTCGGAGGACGAACAGTTTGCCATGGATATATGATCCACTACGCCTATCCCGTACAGGCCCACCATAAACATGTGCATGCTGTCGTGCTGAAAATCGATTGATTTTCGAGAAAAATAAAAGAAAAGCATACATATAAAATATTAAATAATAGGTATACAATATGCTATATAAAAACGATGATGATTTAATATGTGGATAGGAGACGACGCGATAACGACAAATGGGTCTTCCGGGAAATCGCGTGACAACACTGATCCTGTTCTTCGTTTCCCCCACCTCGGTTACTTTCAGTAACAGCTAAAAATCCAAACGAAAAGATTTTGTGATGGAGAATATACTTATATACAGACAAACCCAAGCCCTTTCTACGTTATACCCATCCTTTAAACCATACATTAATGCCCGCTAATGACCCTAGTACACACACTGCTAGGCTATACTTTATTCCATCTGCGGTGTCTTTGTCTATTATAGTCGTTGCATCGAGACGATGTGATCACAATGATGATGGTAATCATAATAACGAACACTAAATAATTTATGACGATAATGTAAGGTAGTACTGGAGTAATAAAAGTAGTTAGTGAGAAGCAATGATAACACGCAGGTGTGAATGTCGCAGCGCACGGCGTTTCTCGCGTGCTCTATTGGTATCAAACAACAGCACATAAATACAAATAAATACATGAAAAAATAATAAGCAGTGAAAGTACGCTTGCCTGGGTATTCATAATCGACTATTATAGGATGTCCCTAAAAAGACTGACAGAGTATTTTATTTTCTACCCAATTTGTTTTACTCTATCATGAAATGTTTTTTTCTACGCAGAAATATGGTGGAAGAAACAGTGAGGTTCAAATCAGTGCAGGCCTAATGCTTTAGGTGTTTGCAGCTTGCCGTTAGAAATAGTGCAATCTTTAATGAGACAGCCCACCAATAAGAAATAAATATCTGTTATTAAACTTTATGATTGCAGGGTAAATGAATTCCTTTTGCAACTCTTTTTGACAAAGCAATCGCTTTTTCCAAACTGAAAAAAATATAAACATGTATTATGTCTGGCATTTCGGTGCGTATAATAATGACTCTGTGTATGTTAGTATAGCAATAAGGTAAGTATATCGAAAGGAAAATATAGAACTTATATCTCCAGAAGTAAACCATTATTTGCTGAATGAATGGTATTGGTCAGACTTTGCGGAATATAAATGTGAAAATTATAGTACAGCTTTCTTTGTTTTCTTTTAAATTGGCTAAGACCATATATAGCATCCATGCTGTGCATAGAAAGCATTACCTATACAGATAAATGAGTGCAGCGCATTTATAAGTAGATATTTTACGAACAGTTATATCTGGTGATTTCGATTTGCTATCGGAAACAAAAAGGAATATTGTTGTTGCTATTGTAAACTATTACTACAGACAGTTAATTATGCTCTCAGTGATATGAGCTGCAATACGACAAATATATATATAAAGGAAACGAAACAAATTTAAAGCGATGGAATGAATGAGACAGACGTAAACGGGTGAGCGAACGACAGACCGAACGAAAAACAAAGGAAAAGAACGACAGCACGACATGAGATAAATTTTCACTTTTGTAAATAAAGTTTAAAAAAATTGCACATTATTGTGAACAATATTCGGTGTATTTACTTTAGCAGGTGGCAGCAGGAAGGCTGACGAAAACGACAAAGGAAAGCCATATATAGCAGTTGAACCTATTGCTTCGATGCAAGCTAGAAGACCAATCCAACATCTTAGACCATAAGCATACATGCTAGTGCAATGATGGATCATAGTCATCGTTCTATAAAATCGAATTTATGAAAGCCGCAAAAATACTACTAGAAAATGAGAATGAAACATATTTCGTATGACCATGTAACGAAAGTGCGCTGTATCCGTCTGAACACGATCGTGTGCCCGAATGAAAACTTTTTTAAGGTAATTGTTCTTGATATAAAGGTAGTTTCGTGATATATGCATAACATGCGTAGTTATTGTCGAGAAATATCTCTGTGTAGGATCATTTTGACATTATTTCCACCAGTGGTAAGCATTGATTAATCTTTCTTATTATTAAGCATTGACTTAAGCACAAATAAGCGCTGCGCACTTACACAGACTGAACACTCCGCTCGTTCCCAATACTGCGATCTCAGCTAAAATCTAAACTGTGCTATTCTGTCAACTCTATTGGCGGCTATCTCTGGGTCTTCAGTAAATTTTATTGGTTTTGAGCAAAAAAAATCAGATAAAAGAGATCGCTACCAAATATGTTTCAAAACTATGCAAACTGCTTCAAATATTTAAAACCTGTTCTAAGCAAAAATATATACACAAATAATGCTAGACTAAGAAGTAGTTATATTTGAACAAAAAAGGTTGGTCAATGCGTTCGTATGAAATGCACGTAGTTAAGTTAAATTCGGCACATTTATCGTCTTTAAATCTTAATAAATTAGGCAAAGAATAATGCAGTGCCCTTTGAAAACTTAATAAGAGTCATCCACTTACACTATCGAAACAATTCACGAAATTAGCTGTTATTCGATGATGCACAAGGTAAGCGAGTTTTCCTTGACATTTTGACGGTTGAAAAGTTCATATCTAACATTTGTCAAAGCTTTAAAATTCATGCAATGTAAAATGAAAACTTGTTAATTATCAGGAAACTATTTTTGCATGGCCCAGAGACTTTTGCCTCACTCTGCATATCTTATTATTTATTATGTATGTAAATTTACAATAAATTTATAAAAAGCCCACATTCACGTTGTCTCACTGTGTCGTGATCTGGTACCAGAAACTGAACGACTTGTCTGGTAAAGATCACTTATTTCTTTTTCAATTACACTTTGACGAAGAGGACTGTGCTTGGTCAAACTTTCCAACTAAACTCAGTAAATGCCGTGATAAATTTGCAGTGACGGAAACACGATTTTCAGTGAGGAATGAAAGCGTATTCAATAGACAATCACCTAATTATGAATTTGTACATTTACTACCGCTTTTCTGTGTTGTTAAAAAAATATAACATTCATATTAATTGAGTTGTTAACAGTTTAAGCGTGCCGAATGACGCGCTCTATCCTGTACCAAGAGCCACTGAACAGACATGCTCTTCAATCGTCGCCATTTTAATGTACAACCATATCTTGAATCCTGCACTGTCACGTCAGTAGAACAGGTTAAGGAAGGTCTTTTAAAGTATCGAAGTACTAGCACGGTTGACAAAGGGTACTCGGCTTTAATAAATATTTAATTAATAAATACCAATTCAAAAAATAAAAATTTAATAACCTTACAGGATAAATGAATTACATAATACCTGAAAATGTGTATCTTATTAAGTTAGCTTTTAGTAAGAATAATAAGGTTAATGAAGGTGACCAGCATTTTCACTTGTGATATATTTGTTAAATTATAGAAATTATTTACTTAATTTTAGATTATATTATTAAAATTATGTGTATATTTTTCGACTTAATATTAAAATGCCTGAAATATGTTTAGAAGCAAACAGATTCGGTTCCATGCGTAAAAATAATAAGTACCACTTATTTTAATAAAAGTTTATTATTCATCAAAAACCTCTATTTCTACATCACCCTATCAGGTCGAAAAAGTCAATATTACGCTAGTCTGTCGAAGGCCTTTGTCCATTTCCGCAAGGCTTACGATTATTTTGTTGGATAATATTTCAATATTGAACATTTCACGCTACCAAACTTCAACAATATAATGTGTGTATGTGTGCTAATGTATTTGTCGCGCATTTTCATATTTCGGTACATGTTTCAAAGCTAAACGTTCCCAGCACACAGTCTCTTCAGCATTGACTAAGTGCTTCCTGCATGTATTATATTTCTTTTACTCGTTCCCCAAATTACCTAAAGCCGTTCGTTATGCTTCCCGTTGGCTATGCCTAAAAACATTTTCTTAAAAATTGATAGGCAAGTGAATTTCTTGTCTAAAAGATTTATAGGCGACCAGATCAAAGCACGTTATTCCGTTATTTGACTGTCTAAGTTGAGGCGGATACAGCAAGCTTCTTGAGGTGTTCCATGAAGACCTGCAGGGACACGTCGTCAGTCAGCACCGGAGCTCCGGCTGCATCTCCTTGGCCACCCCACGAGTATGCATTGTTATGTGTTACAGATGGATTGACCTTCGATAAGAGGAAACGTGCTTGTGACCCTCCTTGATCACATACGATATAACGTGGCATAGGGAATCTACTTTGAAGGATTTCTTGTGCGTCGTCTTCTGGTGCCTGATGTAAGATAAAAGTTCGAGCGTTAGTCAAACTATACATATCTAAAGAACTTTTTACAATGTTTCCTGACTCTTATTATAAAATGGCTTCTATTTTTGGCCAAATGTAGGCTGCTCTGGGATAGTATTCCTCAATATTTTTTATGCATAATGCAACTAGATGTTATTTGACGACGGTTTCATTCGTTAAATACTTCTGTTAGTGTATGTAAAACGAATGTAAAAACAATTAAATATTTATTATTATTATTATTATGTACCTGGAGTAACTGACGAAAACTTTCATGTTCCTGGGATCTATGGTAGCCTGCTTTGCGCCACTGTGCGATCGTTTCACCATGGAAGATGACAATCTGAAAGAAGGTATCCATGAGCAGTATCCGATCAGGCTGTATTGACGATGTGTCGAGGAGAACAGGCTCGGGTGGACCATTGAACGAATACGCGTAGAGAATAGGCTGGATCATGATTAGTGATTGCGTTAGGTCTTCAGTCATTAGCATATGTCTGTAGAACGACGTTTCATCAGGTGAATTATTAAAAACTTGAAGAAATTGCGAGCGCCGAAGATGGAACATGAACTGTGGATATAGTGAGAAATTGTCCGGGAAGCGAAAACTTTCCGGGCTTTCTTTCTGGAAATCTCCGAATTTTTGGCATAGCCGAATAAGCATACGATCAATAAAGCGCAACACATCAGGACCTTCCTCAGTCTCGTCAGCCTTAAAGCAGGCATATCTTGCCATTAGCACGGCACTTGCCTCCTGATCGTAGCCGGCAGAGATGTGCTGAATGTTAGTTGCAGCATCAGCCCAATTACGAGCTATCGTTGTTACCCGTACCCGCTTTTGACCTGAGGGGTGTTGGTATTGAGTGATAAATTGGATACAACCTCGCCCGCCCTGAGGGATACCTGAATTGTGCTGGTTGGCTACGTCGAAGAACACTGCTATAGTGCTATTCGGCGTTAGGGAGCACATTTTCCACTGACATGTTCCACCGAGGCCCGTATCACCGTCCGAAACGTTTGGTCCTTTAACCTTCATAGAAATACAATTGCCTATAGCTCCTGAAATTTTAATTTCTTTTGAGGTCTTAACCTCGATCAAGGCGTTGAGTCCCATTTTGAGTTCACCCTTTGAGTCTCGAGTAAACACTCGCTGGAATGATTGCTTGAATAGGCTAGAGTTGAACGAATCGCCAAGCACCATGTGACCACCAGTCATATTGGAGCAGGTTTTCATTTCGTGTAATCCAGTTTGATCGAGGGCACATGAATAGATATCAATCGCATGCCCGTTTGCGGATGCTCTCTGTGCTAATCCCTCGTAGTGCTTCTGGGCTTTTCGCATAAATTTTGCCGCGTCCTTTTGGATGTCATGGTGAGAGCGGATGGTCATCTTGAGCTCATCCGATACAATCATACCAGGACCCTGAGTGCAGGCTCCACCCGTAAATAACATCACCCTCGCGCCAGTGTTGGGAAAGGCCGCTTCAAGCAGTCCGACAGCAATTGATAGAGCCACTCCAGTGGACCGTAATGGACGCTTGCCTTGAAGCACAGGCCAAGGATCTTTCTGCATCGAGTCGAGAAGATCTGTCAATGCTAGGTCACATTTCTGTACGGGCTGTAGAAATCGGCTCGCGGGTGGAGTACTCTGTGGTTGTTGTGGGGGCATTCCAGACATTCCCGGCATCCCTGGCCGTGGCTGGGGCTGTTGCTGTTGCACCCCCTGGGGTGAAGACATCGTTTTGCCAATCGCTAGCATATCCTGAATCTGTTTTGCAGCGAGATCCTTCGTGCCACGGAACACATAGCTCTTAGCAACGCCTTCACCTGTGAGCTCGTGAACATGAACCATTTTTCCGTAGGTAATGAGTCCAACGAGGGCATTCGGTGGCATAAGTGAAAGTGATAACTGCAATGCTTCTTTAAGAGCCATCTGTTCATCTTCATCCAAACAGGTGTCTACCACTAGCAGAAATATTGGAGCTAGTGTCTGCGCTCGCGTAATAGTGTACTCGAGAGTAGAGAACTGAGGTATCAATTCAGCTGGTTGATGTTGCTCAGAGATGGCCGCGTACTGAGGTGGGAATTGGTTTCGTTGGAAGCAGAAATTGCACACCCATAGCTTGGCACGATAGTCTACTTGACAAAGAGGATTAAGAATTGCTCGACACTTTTGGTTTGTGCAAAGTACAGGGTCATATTGGATGGGCGGTAGGTCAGGCCGTTCCTTAAGAGGAGTAAATAACGCTCCTATTGGGACCACAAGACGTGTTGCATCGATCTTTGAAGACGGCCACACATTCCATGATAGGCGAACCCCATCTCGATCTTCCTGGTGCTGAATAAAATCAGCATACGTCTGATACTGAGCCATTTTCAGTGCTACCACGAACGAAAGCAAGACCGCCCTGGAACGGTTGTTTTTTGCTTGTCTACTCAGCAATTTCTATCAATATAGCCGAAGCCCGTTTTCCCTCCACGTCAACTACAGATGTCTTGAAGAGACCAAATTTGTATGAAAAACAAACACAATTGTGAGTTTAACACTAACTGATCTCAATACCCATTCAGACGAAAGTTCCACGTCAGTGTCAGCCGACAGCTCGACGTTCCAAAATCACACAGCGCCCCTTCGAAATTGCTAGTTTGACCAACTGCCAGATGGTAGCTCAAGACACCCGGAAGTGAGTTCATTTTCATGTTGGGCACGTTTGATTATAGGTGGAATTTTCACTAATTCCTGTTAACAATATCGCAGATATACATACTGCCAAATAGCAAGCTGACTTATGTTATTCTGTCACTGGATATGAAAAGATAAACTTACTTCGTTTGCGCGTTTTATTTATATGGGTAACGTCCGGGAGCAGCAGGGACTTGGCGCGAAAAATTGAAGTACTACAGCGGTTTCACGTATGGAATACTACTATGAATGAAACTTTTGGAGAAGATCGCGCGGTGCTAATTGCCGAACGTTTAAGTAAATAAGTTATCGCAAGCAGCGGGTGTGTATTGACATATTTTCCAACATAGCCGACAGTAGATAACATTATGCAGAACAATAATTTGTTATACTGTATAATTTTACGTTCATTGCGCTTTTATATCGCTTGTAATTTCCATGTCTGGTTGAGTTTATGATTCGTTTGCTTCACGGTTTGAAAGACGGTAGTTATGTTTTGACCTAATCATAAAATTGTGATAATCCTAGTTTTATTTACGTACTTGACAGGCCTGGAAAAATGCATGTAATGTTTTATGCATGCATAAACACATTTAAGTATTTAATTGTTACGATGTAAATACTGGACGTTGTTTTAATTATACAAGGAAAACAATTTGATCAATGAATATATACAGACTAAATTGCATAATATGTTGAGTAGTTGAAAAAATATTGACCGCTTTAAGCCAAAATCGAGGCAAATATTTTTTATGTTTCAAAATAATAGCATTAAACCAAATATATATGGTTACTAGGTTCGGCTGATTTTTTAAAGTGCTTACGGTATGCTTTGTTAATACTGACAGTAAAGGTCCGAAATAATCATTTCGCCAGGCGGCAGTAGTTCATTAGACATGACCCCTTTTTCCAACCCCACCAAACACATAGAATAATTTTTTTGGCGTTAGTCTCGGCTTTGCACCAGATGGTGTTTTTGTTTGTGGCTTTGCTCAATTTTTGTTATGTTGTTTAGTGACACATGATTGTGTAATGTGATCCGTAATTTTTTATCACTCGGAACCAACAGCTCTAAAAATAGCTCAGTTTCGTTGCATTTCTGTACATATTTGCAGATAGAGATCAAATCAACTCAACTCCTTTGCATCAACTCGTGTGGCGCCCAAACATCAAACCTTTTTTTTCTGTTTGTAGTCAATTTTCTTCAAATGATTTAATGGCTACATTTGTGCTTTTATTGCAATTAAATTACGAAGTATATTGATTTCTTACACAAATTTCACTCCTCTTCAAGCCGCTCTATTTTAGGCCTTAACACACACTTTTGAATTATTTTAGCACATCTACTACCGTTAAATGTCAAGTGACCTCAACGCCGACACGACAGGACTCTAAATCGCCTATTATGTGTGATTTTGAAACCATCTAGCATAAGCGGTGAATATATATATATATAATTAGTGCTAAGTAAAGCCTGGCAAATGTTAACTTTTCGTTGTCATTTAATTTGAGTATAGTAAGTGTTGTTTTTATGTCAACATGTTTAAACAATGTGGGTAATTCGAGGAATAGTATGTGTTAACCATGCAAAACCAAAGTGAACTACTTGTGTCCGTACAAATTAAGCACGTATAAAAAACGTTGTCGATGGAATATTTTGTCACGATTATTATACCTTTGAGAAATTCACAGTTTTGACTAACTGTTTGTTGTAAGTATGCACTACCGTAATCACTTAAAGGGTTTCCACAGAGCCTTAAGCTACTAACAACTGATATAATATTTCAACTAGTTATAGTTTATCAATTCTAATTAGCTGCTGTAAGGAACACTTGCATGATTCCGCTGGTGCGTAGGAGTGTAAGATATTAACGTATATGATCATAATTAAAGCTTTTACAAAGTCGTATTATGAAAAATCTTGATTTGCCTCCCGTTACTAAACGAACTCAAATAGTTTACCACCGTTGTTGATGCGTACGGTTATTGAGTTGTTGTCACAATTGTGGCTAGCGTGTCACCATGTAAAAAAGTTACGTGTCGATCACTATTCGCTCTTCTGGTCACCATTTGACAATACAAGAGTTTCTCTGACTAAAGCTGATATTTATTAATTTTACATTACAACTTCAATTTTGTGGTTGCACTACAGTATCATGCCATGCTGTTACCTGACTGGGTATTTATAGATCCTTAATCTTAGATTCGTAAAATGTAATTCATCGCTGACACAATCTCAAATTTGAACGAATAATAATGTACAGCTAATTATATGGCATTCGTGATGAGACGTGTGTAGACTTCGTAGTATGGTTTTAAGTTGAACAACTTATATCTGTAACGAAACACCGTACTGGTAGAGAGACTGTGATAAATGATGTCTTCTGCTTCTGCATAGATTAATGACTAGTTCCTTTCCTAATTTTCACCAATAGCAATATTAATATCGCCAAATAAAGTTTTATTCCTCTCTAATTGTAACGTTCTTCTGTTGTACCACGCATTATTGTTCTGCACCGAGCTCGGCCACCCAATCTAAGCACTGCGGATTTTCTTTAGGCATCTGCGATTACTCAGAAGTAAATCACTGGTACCCTCCTCGTAGTAGTTTTTGGGTTGTACAATTTCAGTGTGTAAGCGCACCCAGGTGTGCACCACACAATAGTGTACATGACAGATTTCAAACGTAAACAAGTCACTTTTTCAAAAGATGCTAACTTAGCGGCACAATGAAGGGCCATAAAAGTTTCGAAGGCCTTTCTTAAAAGACACAGCGAGCTTGATTGTGGAAATAGGTTCTACTAGCGTTATTTTATATTATGTGTCTCTATTTTTAGCGTGCCTTCAATTGATACTGCACACATTACTTAGCTTAAAACGGTTACATGTACCTTAAGTGCTCTGTGGTTCTTTATGTACATCTATTGGAGAACACGAACAAAAAGAGAAAAATGCTCATGAACGACATGGTCAAGACGAACATCACTTTCCTTAAGAAAATATTCTTTATTTTCAAATTCAACAGGGTACAATTTTGGCACAATGAGCGTACTTACCCGTGTCCGTTGGTCGCGTGGGACATTACCGTGCGCCACATTTCGCCGCAGAATCAGTAGCGTGAAGCAGAAAAATGAACGAGATTTTATGAAGCTTAAAAACGAATGGTGGATTCCTCGAGGTGAATTTGAGGTATGATTGTATTCTGCTTACTTTTCTTTTTGCCTTTCTCGACCGTCTCACCGACCACTGTTCTATTTAGCGCTACTTATAATGGAAGGCTGTTGACGTGAACAGAGGGACCAAGGCTCTTCCGCTTTGATCATCAAAACGCGTTAGGTATTTTGACTATATAGCTGGGAAAGCTGGTTTATCATTGTCATATATTGCATCACCTTGATTGACTATTTCTTATATAATTTGAGTATAATAAAAGAAGTGAGCAGTAACTTTATTCCGTTTAACACCTGTCGCTCCATTATCATCGTCAGCTGATTAGTGAATCAATATATCAAATATAACTGAAATTCTCAATACACAGGTCTTATCGCGTATGAACAAGCTACGGGTTCCTTTGATCACGGATGTGTTGCGAGAATGTCGAGAAGGTGACCACGGCGAACAACCAATGAACCTTTTGAAGGGATATAAAATTATTGATGTTGGCTGCGGAGGAGGCCTTCTAACAGAGGTATAAGAGACACTATAAGATCGAACGTAGAAGCAGGCTAACGATTATAAAGTACTAGCAGTTTTATTCATTGACAATTATTATTTCTTCTTTTAAATTCGTTTCAGAGTCATGTTCGCGCTTCTTAAAATTCTTGTCCGGTTTGCTTCTAAGATAGTCCATACGGAATTTAGTGCGATAGGTGTGGCTTGGATTAATCACAGTAATATGTTTGAGTCATTCACACGCATAGAACGTTTCCAATATTCGTAAAGTAACTTTACCCACATACTTTTATACTGTTGTCATAGTCGTCGCGTTTTTGTTTTTACGTACGACGTTTCACTCAACACGTATATATAAGTGCCGAAGAGAGATTTTTTTTTGTGGTTTTCTTTAATGCACTAGCCCCTCGCTCGACTTGGGGCTGCCGTAACCGGACTTGACATCGTCGAAACAAACATTGATACCGCTCGAGCACACGCTGATAAGGATCCGAAAATCTCGGATAGAATTACGTATGTGTGTGGAAGAATTGAAGATGTAAGTGTCGGAGGGAATTTCAAAACGTCTATTAAGTAACTGAGAGTTTGGATTTCATAGGTAGCGCTCACTTGTTTCTATTCTATAAAATAACACAATTTTGGCCACTGCTGACCGAGCTCTCTGATAGTACTGCCTTTGTAAGTAGTCACTTTGTCTGATCCCCTTTTAGATGAAGGAACAGTTTGATGCTTTGGTAGCATCGGAGGTCATTGAACATGTGGAAAGTGTGGAGCTGTTCATTAAACATTGCTCGCGGGTTGTTAAGGTAACTGCGTTTCGATATTATTTTGTTTCAATCTTATACAATTGCAAATGTGGTTCCGAATTTATTGCTAATCGTATGGGAAGTTGACATAATACAGATGTCATCGAATGAAGCATTATCCTGAGAGATAGCCCGGGAGCATAAAACGGTATCTAAGTGAAGAACTATTGGGAGAATTTTAGTTTGTACCGTTTTTAATATCATTAGTCTTGAGAGCTTATTGTAGTAATCATTTACGTGGGAAGAGGATAGAAATTCAAATATTATCGACGAAGGCAAATAAAAACTTGAATCTCAGTAACTTGAGCATCGTATAAACTGATAACTTATGTGCTCCGCATTAGCCACGCGGCCACCTGTTCTTCACGACGATCAACCGGACCCTTCTATCGCTGCTTATAGCAAAAATCGGTGCTGAATACATTTTTAATTGCGTTCCACGGGGTTTACACGACTGGAGGTTGTTTGTTACGCCAGAAGAACTTCAGTTACAACTTGCTAAACATAACTGCGCTGTCGCTCGTACCAAAGGTTAGTGGTAATAAAAAGTATTTTTTGTGAATTGCTCAAAAAATACATAATTTTCTCAGTAGTTCATACTTTATCAATATAGTCCGAGCCTAAAATATACGAACGATTTGCTTGTTTATGACTGATGTCAAAATATTCCCAAGTTATTTTGACAGCTTCGATTACAAGGGTGGTCAAGCGTTTATACCGTTTTATGACAATTCTTTGTGATTTTTTTACTCTAGAAACCCTGTTCGTATTGCTAAACCAGTAGCTTTTTGATTTTCCTCATTAAGTGGGGATAGCGGCAGAAACGCAGAAGCCAGGAAACCTACAGCGCAGCGGCGAAATGTACAGACGATATAAACTCATACTTAAAAATCACCAACATACTTTAAGGCATCAAGTTGTTGAAAATCTGATGAGGAAAGTGTCTTCTAGAAGGAGGAAAATGTTACCTATATCAGTTCGAGAAATAATTAGTCCGCATATTAACTGTTTGGGCGGATTTATCCCACCGAGTTGAAATTTTAGTTGACGGAGATGCTGATGCAAACGTCGGAAATACCAGTAACGATTATATTATCTGCAATGATCGCTTTGCATTCATGTCTATGCTACGATATTACCCTAATAAAACTTACTCTTTTACTGAATCTGCACTACTGCTTAGCAGCTGCGCTGTCTGAGAGAAGCTTCTATTTGAAGCTGTAGGAACAGCAAAAAAAAAAAAGGAATTAAGTTACCTTTAACAATAGATCCTTCCGATAAGCGTACAGACATTTTTCTATACGTGTGAGAAAATGAACACTCAGAAGGAAGTTCGCTTGGGCTTCGCTTCAGAACTGCTGCGTCGCCAACTGTAAACGTGTGGAAACCTCAAACCCCTCTGAAACTTTTGAACTGGTTATTCAGAAACAAAAACATCGCCGACGCTGATACGATGGTGTCAGCGCCGTTATTTAACTAAATTTGTTTTGACCATTCGCAAAATCTACCACGCTGTTCATTACGCAGCAAGATTTGGGTCAATGTCATGCTGATTTCGTGCGGGTTACTATTTATGCTGTAAAGGAACTTTAAAGGAATCTACCTACCGAAAATCAGAAGTCAGAGCGGCTTTAAGAAGTCGATACTGTGTACGCTAAAACACCTGACTGTTACCAACGATGTATGCGAATGCTATAAAGCTACAAGGACAGCATTTCTTGGCTTATTCTCCAAAGAAATTACCATTTCTGGGGGTATGTTTTCGATGAAGGGAAGTTGCAAGAGAAGATGAATCTACTAAGAGGTTATTGTGCGCTGTTTTTTAATAGAGTCTTAGTGTGCGTATTTAGTATTGGCGCTATGGCCAGTGCGTATGTGTATTTTGTGAGCCGAGAACAGCTCAGACGCATAGTGTGCACACAGTTCCGTTAGCCAAGTCGTGGTCTCAATGTCATGCTTACCGTTTTTTCAAGGAGACGTTGTACGCAACGATGATTGTAGGCTTTACCATCATCATTTACGATCATGACTTGAGTTCCTACATCAATTTACATAGTTTATTACCGACGATATTACTATCTCTAAACAAGACTGATATACTAATTGACTTCCACCGCCGTGTAAACCAACTTCGGTTTACCAAGTTCCTATTTGTGGCTTAGAACCTGAGCTACTCGTTGCATAAAGTTGACCAATGCAAACGGTCGAAGCTCCTCTCCAAACGAGTCTATTTTAACCTTGACTCATTCTGTTTCGATAGTCCGGAACAAAAACCGCGATATTTGTCCATCAATCCATCAGCAAAGTATCTACGAATCACCAGTCGACAGGGATGGGGGTTTCAGCCGCGTACTTTGTATTACACATAAGTGACTCGGAGGCTATTTCGAGACGCTTGTGAGCTACTCATTAACCTATACAAGGTGTTCAACGTCCATCTGCATTAACTGGTCAAATGGTGGAATGAATCAGAGGTAGTACAGCGTGTGTCATGCCATAGTGATAACTGCAGCATTTTCTTTAATTAACATAAGATGAGTATGCTAAAGTGCCCCTCGCTCATGGCAAATTTTATAAATTTTATCCTAACTGAACTATACTATTGGCATAGGGAATTGGGTTTTTGTCCTTGCTCAAGTTGGAGCCGAAAGCCACTGCAGACAGTATCTCAGACATGTAGGGTACATCTCTATTTTACTCTTCCTTATTAATGAATTCTGTCTTATCATTTTGCAGGAATGATGTACAATCCGATCACTGGCCAGTGGACATGGATTGACACGGAAGCTGTCAGTTACGCTCTGCATGCCGTGAAGGTTTCCTAGTTTCCTAGCTTTAATCATGTTTAGCAGGAACCACTGTTCGTTTACACCCTACGTAGTGTATGAACTATTGCTATGGATCGCATACCATAAGCGTAAATCAAAAAAAGCGCAAATCTTAAAAAGATTTATCAGCATGGAATAAATAATTAACTAAGGGTTGATATCTCCGTTACCTTTATTCAAGATCAATTCGCTGTATACTAAGTCCAGTACTGCTGGACATTGCTTTTGATGGCCTTAGCATACTTTTTGATAAGCATACGTGGTGATGGAGTACGAGCCTCAATCAATGTTTTACTCATTAAATCGCAACATCGCAAGCTTGCTTTTTAAAGCTTCGCGCTCTGACAAAACTGCCAACTTCAGGGACCTAAAATTTACTTAAATAAATTAAATAAACCTGAAATTTGTTTAAATCCAATTGTCAAAAGCAGGCTCTGTAATTGCTGTAATCAATTCCATAGTGTTTTTATTTTTATTAAAAACTTCTGTCTGGTTTGTATCTATACTTCATTATATACAGACGGGATAAATCGGACAGGATACATACGATTATGTAACACACGTATATAACAAAGAAAGTACGTTAGAATGCTTTAGCATAAAAGATTTAATGGAGAAAATATTCTGTGAACCTTCGACGTGCTACATGTCAACCAGATATTGGACTTTTTGGTATCCTACCCTTTAAAGGATACCCACAATAAATTATAAACATAGTATTTTCCCCACTTCTGAAGAAGCGCGTTCGTCATGTTGTGTAATGTTGATTCACTCACGCCGTTAACACCAGGTAAATTGAGGTTGACCGTAAATTCGCATCACACATGCTACACGGGACTGACGTCTTGATAAGAAAAATGTGCATCATTCTAGTAATCCGAATCACTGCCGTCAAAATAAGTAACTTTTTTGACAATAGCCTTCTTTTTCTTCGTCTGGGTGTCTGACTCATCCTCCGATCCAGAAAAATGCATCTTCTTTCTTTTAGAGGCGGCAGCCGATTGAGACTTGTTCAAAGAGGCCTTTGTCGAGTGTTTACCTATGAAACCCAACAATAAATTTAGTTCAAGCTGTACACACTTGTCGAAGAATCACAATAATTGAAGCCGTGAACCGAGCTTCTCGTGTTAGTTACAAGCGCTGTTATCTTTTACAGAAAACATGTTTAGAAGTTCAAAGCAACTGTTGCTCGCTGCCAGTTGGTTACCAACAAAACATGCTTATCCAATAACTTCAGAAATTTTTTAAGGTTACATCAGTGAGCTTACACGGTTCACCGGTGTAACCTTAAATGTCTATGTTGCTACTAAGTGCGTAAATAGGTGTTTGAGAGTCCTCAGAGGAACCTCCTTTACCATGTGACCCCTTCCATATGTAGAGAATATTAAAATAACTTATAACGTGAAAGATAAAATACTGTCAAGTTAATATCGGCTAAAAGCACGAATATAAAATCATACCGAAACTTACTTGAAGTAGTGTTAGAAGCTTGAGTAGATTTTTTTACATTTTCTGCTCGTTTCGACAGGGGAGCGAGCTCTTCATCATCGCTACTGAGTATCTGGCGTGACGGCTGTTTCCCCTTGCCCTTCACTGGAGAATTTTCCTATAAAAGATGGCCAATATAGCATAATTCCATTTAAAATTAACTCAAAGATCATCAATCTCCTATACAATATTAGACTAGGACTAGTATTAGGCTCCCGCTTCTGCAGTTAGGAAAGGCAATAAAGTGAGACCTGTTACTTCCTTACCTTTTGCTGCTCATCGAGCTCAGATCCAGATGATTCCGCCATTTTCACGGCAGCTTTTGCCCTCTTCGGCACGTCGCGCGATGGTGCTTGGGTCGGAAATTGGCTCAGTTCGGATCGTTTCTTATCGATTTCCGCTCCATCCGAACCGTCACTGAAGCTAAAATCACCAGCACTCTTGTCTTCTTCCTCACTTGTGCCACTATCCCACATCTCTTTTTTTGGCTTTTTCGGTTTGAAGTTCAATTTTTGTTGCTTTTTATCTTCCTTCGTCTCTTTAGGCTCCTTTTTGATTTTTTCTTTCTTAAACTTAGGTACCCTTTCGACTTTTGGCTCTTTCCGTTTTGCACCCTGCAACGACGGCATGACGATTAACACCATATTATGCGATCAAAAGCTTATTATGATGGACTTGTAAATTAGCTTATTTTTGTTTGCTCTGTGTTTACATTTGCATGTAGAAACATCTATTGTGAAAGTGAATTTTGGTTCGTTACATTTATTCGTAATTTAAACAGAATATCAGTGCATACTTGTTGTGCGGCCTTCTCGATCTTATCCAGCAATTCCTTGTCGATTTCAGGAGTGATACGGTCGCCCTTTTCTGTGGCTTCACCTTTAAGCATTTTGCCTTTGGCACCTTTTGCAGAAACCATTTTTGTAGTTTTCTATAGTTTTTTAAACAGATTCGTAAGGAAAAAAAAAGTATTAATTAGTAGGTGAAAATAAATTACCATTAGCTTAATAACAGTGACAATCGGATTATAATTAGGTGTGTTTACTGCTCTGTACACCAAGATATTCCTCTGCACGTCAACTTAAACATTTCAAGAGGAATACACAGGTAAGAACAGCACTCCGAAGTTAGCCAATGTGAGCACTACTCAAATATCGCGTTGAGATGATTATTCGATTTTTAAGGCCTTTCGTCGTCATTTTAAAAACAAACCGAAGTTAAAATGATGAGTTGAAGTGATAGCTTTGCTGTCCGTGAGAGTACAGATGCGACCTATATATGTAATTTTATCGGTATGCCTTTGATACGTTTCAGTAACTAACCTTTTCGGCTTTGTCCATTTGAGACACCTCTTTGGCTTCAACTTCTTCAAGTTTTTGCGCGAATGCGTCCAGATCCTCGCTCCAGAGATCTTTGGGCGTTTTTCTACGCAACGCCTCCAGCTCTGCGATTTTATCATCTCGCTTCTTAAGCAGCTCTTCCTTGCGCTCCAAGGTTAAACTCCACATGGTCATACCTAAACAAAATCAAATATTAATTTGGACTCAAGTTAGTTGCACGAGACACACAAGTAACCTAGCAGGGACAGAATCCGGCCTTCTTTTTTGTTCAGTTTTTATTAGTTACCGTCGATCAAAATTGCCGCGGGCGTCCCATCGTAACTTATAGGTTTGCTGTCTTTATCGTACATATATTATACTTCTTTAAATGTCATCTAACGACTGGTTTTCCCATTTTCGGTGTTGCCCAAATTAAGTTATACAACAAAGACCCGAACATTTTAAGTTCTCGACGAAAAGTTTTTTGTATTTCTTTCAAAACAAGTAATTAAAAAAAGTAGTTTATTATATGATAGTAATTGGTATTATTGATAAGCCAGTCGATTGTCACACAACGAATTTAGTGCTGTACTGCCTGTTTGCTTGTTGTTTTCTACTTACTGAGAAGATAATCGTAGTCCTTCGCAAGAGTGTCCTCACGATTGGCACCACCTTGATTACTTGAACTGCTACCCGCTTGCGAATCGCCACCTTGACTCTCCTCGTCGTCATCATCATCGACACCTGCTTCGGCCTCTCGTTCTTGCTCCGTTTTCTGGGCCTCTTTCCACCGAAGCACAGGGTCAGGATCATAACCTCGGTCGATAAGGAGCCGGATCAGTTCTTTCCTTTTTTTATTCTCAACCCGGATTTTATCGTCGCATTTTTCCACAATAAAGCGCGCCTGTACTCATATAAAGATTGATACCAATTACAGAAATTCCAGAATTATCCGGACGGCCCTGATTTAAATGTAGTTACTGAAAGCTGCCAGACATGACAGGCAGGAGCAAAGGGATCAAAATGAAAGTGCCCATATAATAAGGCAGGGCGCACAGAAGTGATAAAATAAGGAAAACTTTTACATAGAAAATCAATTATTGAATGTCTGAGTGAAAAGTCGTGTATTGTTCCAACACGCACACAGACACATAGCGAAAACGATTTTTCAATGAATTCAATATCATATGTTCCACTTACAGATTACCCTGCATTACTGGGCAAGAGACAACAAAACGCCTGTGCAACCAACCTGATTGGTTAGCCGACTCGCTTCTGCGGATAACAGTCCGATGAGATACTCTTTCCGCATCACGTAGCCTTTCAAGCGGACGTCATAGAACTCCTCAAGGATTTGTTCAGGAGAGTCATAGAACCGAATACATCCGGTGGAATCGAATAGGACCATCGAGGTGGTGGCCATTGTTGTCTGCAGTTTGAAAACCTTGTGCATACCGTCGGAACGTGCCTTTTCGAAATTGGCCGCGTCCATGGTCACAACGAAGTTCACTTTGGTATCTGTGTTGTATTCTCTATAGTCCGAAATAATGCCGGGAACCTGGAAGGTTGTTTTTTTTTCAAAGTACATAAGTATATGAGCAAAAAGTGCATCTGATTAGTGGTTTACCGTTTCGTTAATCGGATAATCTAACTTAGTCATTCTGCTATAAGAAGTGCTGCCTATGTAATGAGCTTTATTGAGTTCTAGGCCCATTCCAACATGCACCGCATTTCAGCATGCATAAACTTTCCATTCTTATCGTCCACTCTTTAAGGATGAAATTTTTGAATTTCCATGATGAACAATGATGAATTTGATTGCCTGAATTGTCCTGTTGTTACTAAAATATGTGACGTGACGTTAATAGTACCAAACAACGGTAAATCCCGCGGCACAAACCTTTTCAGATCCGTGCAGTAATACCTCAAGGACATTCTCTTTATAAGCTTGTGTCCACACCTTAACGGGCAACTCGGTAATCTGAACGCGGTTATTATTCAGCAGCGACACTTCGCCATGAATCACGATGCGGTTGCCGGCGTCAACAGTGGCAATCTCACCTTCAAAGCCCTTCCAATACAGAAAATAATTTAAATTTTAAATATTAAAAACAGTCTAATACTGAAAACGTTGGTTTTCAGTATTAAACTGTTTTTAATACATTGGCTGCAATTTTCGTGCGAATACGGTCACAATCTATAAGACACTTAGAAAGACAGATGCTTTTGCTAGGTCAAGTTGATCTCTTTCGCGGTGCTGTAAAAGACCTGTATAAGATGAAAACCCATTGCCCATTTTCCTGCTGACCAAAATAGCGTATGTGAGTTGCACCCGGATTGTAGATAAATGAGAAATCGCTTACTTTGTACCATGGTTGCATTTTCTTAAGAGGCTCGTCGCGTATTAAGCGACGCACGTTAGCCATTACGTCCCTTGGATTATAGTTCGGGATCTTTGTACTCCAACCGGTACCGATGCCTTCTGCGCCATTCACAAGCACCATAGGAATGATCGGCAAATAATACTCCGGTTCGATTTTTTGATTATCGTCGTATAGGTTGTTCAAAATAGGATCGTCCAAAGCGGGAAATATGAAACGTGCCAATGGCGAGAGTTTCGTGAAGATGTACCTGCACGTGAAAAATCACGATAGGCATCCCATTACATAAAACTTAATTCGCCTTAATAAAGGAATAAAATTTCAGGAACTTCGGCAAACCGTAACACAAAAACGCTGAAAGGAAGTTTAGTTACTCGCAGAAAACATACGTTTCAATCTAATTATAATTGCTGCGGATAACCTATGAACTTTGTTCGCTTGGATGCCTTGGCATAGGGAATAGGGATGGCAGGGGAGAAGTTGAAACATTAAAAACATAAGAAACGAATATTGGATGCTTGATAATTGATTACCCTAATGATAGAGCAAAGGCCTCTAGCTCAATGTTATCGAATTCCCGTGAGCTGCAAATTCCAAAGCATTGAAAATATGTTAATGATTGTCATGACCTAGCGTTGGATTTCTTGGCGTTTCGACATTTCGCTCAAAGGCTCGTATTTAAGGTCACTTAGGAACATCTTCAGGATCGAGTTAATTTGGTTGCTATTACTAAAATGTAGAACAAAGTTCACCTGGGGGACGCCGAGTCTTTGCCGCCTTGAAGACGAGTACCGAATTGACCGATTGGCTGTAGAAGGTTGATGTTGTTTGAGCCAACGAAATTTTGAGCCAAATTGATGATCGTCATCATCAGACTCTGTTCACCATGGTGATAAGCCGACATCTCCGCGACAGAACCCGCTAGTTGAGCTACCTTAACCTCCCGTTTGTCGTTTCGTTTAAGGCAAGTAAATAACACCTTTGGAATATTAAATGGTAGAATAAAAATGTAAGCGGTTTTACAGTAAACAGAAGCAAAAAGACCGGTTAAAAAGAGTTTATCAACCGTTGTAAAAACGCTGGTAGGACCAAATACACTTACAAATATATAAGCATTTACCTTTCGTTGGCCTGGCTTTAAACCGTCGACAAGCGAAGGAATCGACCTTTCATTGTCCATGTTCGAAAAAAGGATGAGTTCTTTGTGAACAAACTCATGGAAAGATACGGCTTTCGTATCCTTGTTGTACAGGTAAATTTCAGGCAGACCCATCTCGCGGCGCTGTTTCCTTTCTTCCATACCTTGCGTTAACCATGTTTTGCGCTGGAAACTCAACGAGCGTGTTGTGTATTAATGCTAGTGGAATGAAGTACGTAAACGGACATCGTTTCATAACGAAATATGATCTATTGCAACAGAACTGAGTGATTTGAATACAAGTACTAAGTAATAGCACGACGCAAATCAGGAGAATTTGAAGAATCGTTTATTAACATTCGTCTCAAAAACCGACATAGACGTCTTGTCTAAAATACAATTTGACATGACATGAAAAATGCACAGCGCAACTAAATTTGGCAGTCAATTTCGTAGATTTACATTTAAAGAGAAGAAATAGCCGTAAAATCAGGAACAAGCAAGCGCCGACACATTGAAGAATTTGTAATAGTTAAATGATTGATACAATAATCAGTACTATTAACTGTTAACATTTTCTAGTTTCTACTATACACTCACCTCTTCTACCATTTTCTTTGAGAAAGCAAGAGTAATTGAACTGTCATCTTCGGCCCCAGTGTACCGGAAGGGGATTCGATGCCGGGTCATATTAGAGAAATACTCCTTGGCCTCTTTAGCAGTAGATGTACCCAGACCTACGGAAACGGCAGTTCGACGTTGAAACGAGTGAAAAAAACTTTCCTAATATATGAACTGAGTGGAGATCGCTGGAGTTTATTGAAAGACAGATTAGAGATTTAGGCTAGGCTTAGTTTAGCTTAGGCAAAAAATGTTTCGAAATATTGCACCTTTGTAATATTTGATTCTCCAAGTATTCCAGTTCGGAGTAGCTGACTTCCACTCTTCGAATTCTGGTAATGAAAAAAAAGATAGTTCTCGATTGGATCCTTTGAACGCTTTCACAATCGGAGTAATGAATTCTTCAAGAAAATCCATTCGCAACAGTGAGGGCCAATTGTGGTGCACAAAGTTTATCAAAAGGCCCTTGATATGCGAGCCGTCTTGATCCTGTTCAGGCACCATGTACAAGTGATGTTTAGTCAGTTTGTTTTTCAACCGATCAAAAGCAAATTCACTAAATGGTAGAGTCCCATTAATAACAATTTTTTTTTCGATAAAACTGACAGTATCATTATCTCCAATTTGAAAGACAACAATAGTGGATTATCTAAGTATGAATATAGCTTTTAACTCCATACTTCGAAAACGTTCGTCTCACGTAGTGAGCTTTTGAATGAGAACAGTAGCTTTGTTCGTAGCTTTAATTTCGTCTTATATGCGATTACCGTCGATTATAATTCGTACACAATTCATGAGTACAAACCTGATCGGTCATTATCATTATTCTTCCATAACGAAGGGTCTTCATATCCTCTGAATTCTCGTACTTTTTTTTGTATTGTAGACCACAAATCTGGAAAATGGAAGAAAGTCATTGAAGTTTTCCTTACTGTAACAGTTTGACTGACAAGATTATTTCAGGGATACTTTAAAAACCCACAACAAAGACAAATAAGGGTACCTCTCACATCTAATAGTAAGGTCGATTGGGTTACCTTGATGATGTTGTTAATCTCCGCATTTTCTAACAACTGTTTGGTTGTTGCTTCACGTACGTTTAGCAACTTTCCCCTCAGGGGAAAGACTCCATATCTATCCCTTCCAATTACTCCAAGACCTGAAACTGCCAATGTTTTAGCAGAATCTCCTTCAGTAAGAATGAGGGTGCAGTCCACTGACTTTGCCGTACCGGCATCATTTGCGTCCTCTAACTTAGGTATGCCTGAAAATACCATACCACAACATATACATATATCTGGAAGCGCCCCAAATCTAGGTTTGCAGAACTAGAATCAAATATAAACTGAAGCGGTAAGAACAAAACAGCACAACGTAACACTAGCTTACAAGCAGACATACCTTTGAGCTTAGCATGTTTAGTTTTGAAACACTTTTTTGTCATTTCCTTCTGCGCTTTGAAATGGACAAAGGTCATAATGGCATCGACTATTCCAGACTTTAGCACACCGTTATAAAACTTATCAGATAGCTCACAGGTTGAGCCAAACTTCTTCACTTGCAGTGTCATATACTCCTTTGTCTGTGAGTCGAACGAAGGATTTTCAATCAGACAGTTGACAAAGATCCACATGTGATCTTTCATTTGCTTCTTTGAAATATTGACGCCCTGCTTATTCTTTTTTTTAATTTGCTCTGAAAGTTTTTTTGTCACTGCGTCCATGACATAGTCCACGTGAGTCCCGCCTTTCGTAGTGGCGATACTGAATTAGAAAGACAACAAGAAAATAAGCAATTTGTATTTGGCCTCACAGTCATAGTAAATATTTTTGAAGTGTGAATTTTTTATTCGGGAGCATGGATGTGCTTATGGTGAAGCAATATTCACATAGATATTTCTGTGTTGCCGGAACGTTCATGCATTTAACCATAATCTAACATTTAATCATCTGTGTGATTTAAGTATGATAGCATAGTACCAACCAAATTGGAAGCACTTGTCCTAAAGTGCAGGTACTTAACAGTTACTTTTTTGAAGTCGAAATTCCTGCACTTTTTTTAAAACCAATTAGAACATGTGAACTCAAATGTGATAACAGTATTAGGAGTTTTGAATGCTCTTCTCGATTAATTACTTGTTAACAAAGCTCATTTGCTTGAATTCGCCTTCAGGCGAAGGACAACAGGCGACTTCCCAACGGGGGCTGACCACTTCATGAACTACCGTTAAAGGTTTGTCGTCATCTTCACTGACACACTTGGACGTGAACATCTGAACGTAGTCCTTGAACGTCCTGATTGGAAGCCTAATATTGCAAACGACATGGTCATTGTCGAATTACAAATTTAGAGAAGTGGCTAAACGTGGAACCGATTGTTTAATGCTCAAACAAGAGTTGCTAATATATATATATATATATATATATATATATGCATTCACAAAAGGAAGCTACACTTACTTCCGCTATGCGGCGGAGTCCACCCACATCTTCTATAACTATCACAAAAGCATAAATCGCTGCACTAGCTAATTTACAGCACAAAAACCTATTATTTATATTTATATTTATTTATATCCATTTTCTTCATTTATAAACATGATTGAAATAAATAAATTATCGTTATTATCCATTTCTATAACAATAACACTTACATTTCTCCGTTGAGATAGACTTTTACACCAGCAGTGCACCCAGCAACATCGTATGCCCGTCGACTCACGAGGGCTACGAAATCTTTGTCGAATTTATTCATGCTAAACTTTGATAGGTCTGGATGGAAAGTAACTTTTGTATAGTCCTGCAGTCGAGAATATGAAAATAATAACGCTTACCAGATCGTCTTTAGCAAAACTTTACTTCGCACTCTAATCAGATGCTTGCTAAACGTCGCCATGATAATATAGATTATAACAGCGTATACGCTGTGTATTTACGCCGCAATTATTTTGACTTCAATCTGCTATTTTCTATATAATACCTATTGTATTGATATTAAATTGTATCAATAGTGATTTTCCTAATGCATACTCTGTCTGAATCGGCGATCTTTGGATCTCCGGCTTTCGTCATGTTGTTAGTCCACGTCTGCTTGAACGCTTTTTGATGCTGGCGGGAAGATGTTTCCAAGGTAAACTTCGTCGAGAAGATATTGCATAGTTTTGCGCCTAAATTACGTATATGCAACGATATTAGTTTTCTAGTTGTAATCCATACATGGGCTTCGCATGAAGCTTAAATACATAGCGGAAGACGATAGTAAAAACGGTTAGTTTTTACTATCGTCTTCCGCTATGTTTTTAATAGACTGTTGTATTATTTGTTCAAATATTGCTAATTAACATACCGCCTATAATACATCTTTTGATGGCTTCACTTCAGTTAAAAAAAAAAGCAAATTTTGGCTAGTTAGTAACTAGCACAGAGATCTGTTCTACCTGTGTAACAGTTACGTACCATAACCATTGCGACCTCCGGTAACTTTTTTCTCATTATCATTGTAATTCGACGATGTCAACAAATGACCAAAAATTAAGGTTGGGACATAGCATTTTTCTGTTTTATGAGTTACTACAGGGATTCCTTTTCCGTTGTTCCACACCGAAATCATTCCTTTTTCGGCATCAATCTCCACCTGGTGGATATGCCATAGTGAAAAAGACCAACATATTAATATACGTCCACAGAGTCATTTGCCCATCGCAGTAATTCTTCTCTATTCGGGAAGACTATTCGCTATCTAACGGCCAACATCGCTGAACTCATTTTCATTATGACTTTGCTTCCATAAAAAAAACCCTCCACATCGAACAAGAACGTAATTGTCTTCTGTAATTTGCACATTGTGAGTTTGCAAGGAAGTAACAATGGTGCACGCCATCTTTCTATACTCCCATTGGTCGTTTCACTTCTTAAGGTGGAGCCCAGCTTCTGTCCCTTGATAGATTTACACATATAGCGATACCTTGAAACACTTGCCTTTATGCAATCCTGGCTCCTGTCGCGTTGCTTGTTATCGGCTGCATTCACAAGAATCTCGTCGAAGATCTTGTATAGTCCAGGCACAAATGTAACATCCCGGTATACCATACCCTGTTCTGGGCCGTCATACACCCATAACTTTCGCGTATCAGGCTCCACTGAGCCGATGTAAGTGTCGGGTCTCAACAAGATGTGCTGCGAATGACATTAATTTTATTAAATGCGAAGTCTACAGAATATCGTTTCTTTTGTAGCAGTTTTCTGCATATACACAAATGTATTTTCGGCTGCAAATCTCAGCTCATAAGCCCGAAATTTTCGGAAAATCAGACTGTTAAAGAAAAGTCAGAAAAGTGACTGGAAGAAAAAATGGTAAACGAATTTTCCATTCAAACCGAATTTTGATCTAGTCATGTATTTCCGTCTCATATAAAAAATACGAATACGTATATAGTGAACTAAAATAGTTTGGTACATTTTCGTCACACCTAGTAAGCTCGATTAATGTGCATGCATAAAATGGCGCACGAAAATATCTAAGATCAACCCAATCCAATGTTCGGCTACAGTATTGATCACATGAATTCCAGATTCAACACAACAACAGAATTCAACAGGTCGTTTGGAATAACCAAAAAAAGCATGTCTCGTTTATTAAGCTCACCTCTAGCTGTGACTTTTTTTGGTAAATTTTCTCAATGTCTTCTGCCATGATTTTTCAGAGACACCGCAGTTTAAATTTTCAAACCTAGAATTCGTTGATTAGCACTGTCAAATGCCACTTAATCATGGGGACCCCGCGAGAGCATGGTCTTTGCGTGGGTATTTCACCTCGAAACACTGCACGCGTCATACGATAACTCTTGATAATGACGTGCAGAACGACACATAACAAAAACAATGTAAGTAGGCTGCCGTTGCACGCATTGTCTCAGTCGTTATGGAATTCCGTAAGATTTGCTCCGTTCTGCTGTCAGCGTCCAGCAAATACGACCAAGTCGTTGTTTCCTGTTTATGGATATATCCTATGTGTGTTTATATATATCCTGTACAGCGGTACCAAATTTAATTGCTCAAGCGTCGACCAACAATCAGAATGCAAAACGGTTAGTTTTGATAATGATATGACAATTTTATTGAGCTAGATATGATCGAAGTATAGAAGAAGACTCAGAAACTGTTAAATTGTCCAGGGACATGAAATAAATAATGGTATATGCACCGACTCAAATGTAAATCTTTAAAGAGAACGTTTTCATGGATACCCTTTAGATCATAGACGTGCCTCTAATGTGATGTAAACCATATAACAGCGTTTGAAGACGTATTTGAAATTTTCCCTAGAATTGCCTAGAACAACCCTAGTTCCCTAGAACAACCAGTTAATAAAGGTTGACTACATCAATCGTTAACTGTGAATTTCTTTGTTATTGTAAGTTTTTCAAAACAACTAATCCGATTTTTCAGTGATTCTTTCTACTATTGAAATGTATGTCTTCCAAAATAGGCAGTAGATAGCATTGCGGTTATAGAGCAATCAGGACAGCATTCTGTAGTCCGAAATTCTATTTTCGATATGCAGATAATACTTAACAATTTATCATAATCCAAATGACTCATTATGCCTATTCATAACACACTTGCGATGTCCTTAACGAACGTAAAAACGGTAAAATTATGAATGAAATACCAAAAGTTTGTTTTCTCTTCTCGATATTAGCTTTCCAGCGGGGATGTGTTGCCGTTAAAGGCTTTCGGTCTAACAGAATTAATATCTATTGCATTGCGGCAAGTAATGTATAAAAACGCTTATTGCATAAGTAAACATGCCGAAGTACTACACGGCGCACTTAAACGCCTACCTGAAAAACGATGGTAACAGACAAAATCATTCACCAGACAATCATCATTGCTCGACCTACAGTAAAACGAATCAAAATAAATAGTTCCACGTGAGGTGTTCGACAACATTCGATTTTGTGCGCTAGTAGAAGCTTTGCTACCGCTTCATGCAAATTTATTTCACGTTATAATTCATTTTGTGCTGTCTTCATAATCGTTTGAATTATCATATCTGCACTACACTGAGCAAAGGTACCCTGTTGTCTGTTGGTCGATCTTTTTTCAAAGAAACAAGTGGAACTTATTTCATTAATAAGTAGTGCGACCTAATAATAAGCATATATGTAGATTCTATGTAAATATTCTAAATATTCTTAGCTATAGTTAAATGAGTTGGTAATGGAGAATGTTTGGTAAGTAAATGTATAAACTGGAAGATCCACAGGTATCGTGGTGCGTGGTGAAACGCTGTTGAAGATAGGAACCCAAGATAAGTAGACGAACAGTGTGCCATAAAACCTTGTAAATAATCCCATATAATATTAGTGTTGTTTATCATAATGAAAATGAAAATCAAAAGTCAATTCAAATGTTAGACAGTTTTTTGATGAAAATATCCCAAGTCATGAATGGCTACGAAGATTTTGCTTCCAAGAAAGGAGATTGCTTGGCTAGACATTACTGGTTAACTAATATGAAAAGTTGGCTTAGAAACGTGGCTTTGCGATGTTGTGAGTAAACTAATGACAGGGCGAAATATACGACAAAAATTTCTACCCATAATTTATGTAACGATTAGTCATAGGCATAAATAGACTTAAGTTCCTGAAATTAAATTACGTTATTAGAATCTATCAGCTCTAGCAAAAGGTTGATAGAAGCTAATCGTTTAACTGCAATACTCATCGCTTTTTCCTATGCACAAACCTTATATAAGTAATGCAAGACGTTTTTACAAACTGCGCTCAAGTTACGGATATCAGAACGCGACGTGCTGATGTATATTTCCATTAGATGTACGCTTGTGATGTATGTGTCAATATTATACTATTAAATATATCGCTTATTATAACAAGATATTTTTTATCTGCCAGGATACAACTTTTTATATTTGTTATAGTAATAAAATCATCATATTGTCAATGTTAACTGAATAATTTCACTTGGTCATATTCTTCTTTAACAGGGTCCATTGCCTCAACCAAAAATGAAATTTCGCAAAGGAGCTCGCAAGGAGCATCGTCAGCTACAGAAACAAAAGCGGCACGCCCAGTCTGTACGTTACCTCGAGTGGCAGCAGAGCGGTCACAGTAGTGGAAAGAAAATTCAGAAGAGAAAGGGGTCGATAAACATGCGTGGCATCAACGGCCAGATGAATCGGATTTTTACGCAACTTGATATTTACGGACGACTGGAGTTGAAGACACAGCCGCATGATAACAACCATAATTTCAAAAATTTTCAAGGCAGCAGGAACGATGCAGACGGTGATGACTCCAGTGCCGATTTTGGAGACAGATTGGTGTGTATCTCATAATTCATATATGATGTATAGTACGAAATACGCGTTCAGGTAAATTATAATAAATGAAGATGAAGTCTTACGTCTAGCTTTTTAAAATGTCTAGATGTTACAGATACATCCTGAATTAATTTAATGCAGGGTGCAGACGAATAATACGTAACCTGTTAGTACTTTTTTTAATTTTCTGGGCTTATTTAAAGAGGCATGTCATTTTCACCTTCTCGTTATTTTCCATGCTATGCTAGCTAGTTACCAGAATTTTTATTATCCTTTTTAGGAGCGTGCATACAATGATAGCGACGTAACTAAAAAACTTGACGTAAAGGAATCGCATGAGGATCGCATCAGCAGATTACTCCAGGAGAATGAGGCAGAAAATAAAGAGATAGCAAAACTTGAGAAGCTACTGTATCTCAATAAGCGAAAGAATAATAATATGCCGAAGTCATTTGTTGAAGAAGGGTTGGATTTCATTTTAGAGCTGGTTGACAAAAAATATAAAAAGAGATACAATGATGATATGGAACTTTTGGAAGAACAAGGAGAACTTGGTAATGCACTTGTCGGAGATCATCAAGAAAAAGATAACGAAGGTGGGTTACAGTCAGCGCTTTAGTGAGGATAGACATAAACAAAGGTGTTAACATTTATATGAGCTCGTTGAGATAGGATTCGCTACAGTGTTGAGTTAACCTGGCGACTATAAGCATCGTAAACTCTGCATTTACTTTCAGCGGTGTTTAACTTTAGGAACTCCTAAACGATATAATTCGAACTCAAAACTGCTGAAATAAATGTAGTCTTAATTTGAGTCAATAGATATATATTATAAATGAGTAATAAGTTTCAGGCAAATATGAGGACAGCTCTGCGGATGAGCTCACTCGGCAGAACGAAAAAAGGCGGAAAATTAAATTTGCAAATCAACCGAGCAACGAGTCTGAGCAGAGAGAAAGTGACAGCGAAGTGGGCATTAGTGATTCTGAAAGTGGTGAAGAGTTGGGCGTAGAGAGTGAGGAAGATTCGGAGGATGCCGATATCGTCGACAGCGACAACGAAGAAGGTTTTGACGAAAAAGATAGTGTAGATGAGACAGATAGCAAGGATAACAGGAGCAGTGACGATGGCGAGTACAAAGAGGACGTGACGATGGAAGAGCTAAAAGCTCTTCGCAATACAAATAGTGCCGGTATTAAAATATCAGAGAATATCAAAGTGAAATATCCAACAAGGACAACGAAACAGCAAATTGAGGAATCCGCTGACGACGTCATGAGGAATTTAAAAGCTATGCGCAAGGGTAAAGGGGGGCTTCTATCAGATGCAGCTGACACGACTAATGCAAGTAAAAGAAGACGAGTGGTTGAAAAGACCGAGCATACTGACTATGAAGATAATTCGAGTGAATTTAGCGAGAAAGAAGCGAGTGACGAAGATGATTTAAAAGACGATGGAAACGAACAGAATCTTGAACTTGATTATTCTGACGAATTTGGTAATGAGACTGTAGAGGAGAAAGAGCGTAACGATAGCGACAGCGAAAGTATTGTGGCGGATCATTTCATACGCAAGAGAAACAAAGTGGCTGCAGATGGCACGTACGAGGACATCTATGGACGAAAAAGGAGCGCCCAGGGTGACGTCGTCGATTCCGTAAATCAAAAGTACGTTCCTCCAGCGAAAAGACTCGCAATGGGCTGCGCCAATAACGACAACAACAAGATCGAGCTGGAAAAATTACAAAAACACGTTAAAGGTCAACTGAACCGTTTGAGCGAAACCAATCTCCGTCCAATAGCAAGCCAAATATCTGAGCTTTATTCAAAGCATTCGAAGAACAACGTCACGTCAATCTTAAGTATAGTAATCAGTGATGCAGTGTTCGGGCTCAGTCTGACGCCCGAACGACTCGTGTTAGAGCCAGCTCTCCTTTGTGCGCTGTTGCACGCAAACGAGGGCCACGAGGTGGGCGCGCAGATTCTTGAAGATGTCGTCGACAGGTTAATATTTACTTATTATGAAATTTATATCTCAAGTGTTTATGGTATCCGTTACGAGGGGCTGGGTAAATATAAGTCATATCTGCAAAACCGGTAATTTTCTTTCTATTGAATAACGAACTGGCATTTTGTGAAATTCGCTTTTACCACAACTTATTTTTAGTCATGGTTAGTTGTTGTACTTAAAATATGTACAAATAATAGCTAATTTTTAAAAATTTTTTTTTTACTTTTGTACGTTTAGGCTCAGATCACTCTTACAAGATAAGGAAGAACGCGTTAAAGGTAAACGACTGGAGAACGTGTTGCGTTTCCTATGTTACCTATTTTTATTCAAGGTAGTCGGCCACAGTATTATCTATGGAGTTTTAAATAGGCTCGACCCGACAAGTGAGCATGACGCTAAGCTTATACTGGTGAGTTAAAGCGACAGTTATAATCCAGAAAAGATGTTTAACCGGCGTATCCCATGAATTCCGAATAAATAATTGTATTTTTATTGGAAAAATACAATATCTTGCTGGCCTGATTTATAATACTGTAATTTTGTTGGATTACAGGCTGCGCTGAAAACGTGCGGCTTTGCTTTGCGCAAGTGCGACCCGGTCGCTTTGAAGGAACTTATCATTTCACTGCAATCGAAGTGCCGCGATTCGAGTTCGTCATCCCAACATCGTTTCATGCTCAACACACTTTTTGCGCTCAAAAACAATAACATTTCGAAGATCTCTAATTGTGACCCTTCGCTGAGCGAAAGAGCCCTCAAGTCACTTAGAGCATGTCTTAACAAAGGCGCCGTGCTTCAGGTACGCTATTGAGAGGCATGGTTTCTATTTAGATCTGAGAACATTTAAACTGCTTCATTTATTCTATATGGAATCGCTTTTTTGAGGAAAGAGTATCTAAGGTAGCCGTTTTTTTTTGTATCGGTTTACACTTACTCTTAGGAGCTACATGTAACGTTGGAAGACTTATACGACGCTCGAATGAAAGGAAAATGGTGGCTGGTAGGTTCAGCTTGGACGAAGGAGCAGACAGAGAATGAGAATGGCTCAAATAAGGGTTCTACACAGGCGGCAATCTGCGTAGTGGATGAGCTCAGTTCAAAAATTTCGGACCTTGCTCGTAAAGTAAGAATTATTTGAAACTTGTTTAAAAAATAATTTAAATGTGTCCTCGCCTATTCGTGTACTGCGACAGTTTGGCTTATAATGCATTAAATACTTTTCTTTTCCGTGCCTTACAGTGACGCAAATTGGAGCAATGAATAATTGTGCATAAATGTATGGAACAAATGCCATTCATTTTTTTAAAATCCAATAGAGACACAATGATTTTTCGATGTGTAGTTATCGTCAATTGTATTTCTCACTTGTCATGTATCAGTTTCAACATAAGCTATTTTGTACCAAAATGCCTGGTGCGGCATAATGTTTACGACAGGCTGGAATGAACACGGATATTCGTCGAGCAATCTTCGGTATTATCATGTCTTCCGAGGACTACCTCGACGCGAGCGAACGCCTCCTTAGACTCAACCTTACATATGTCCAACAAAGGGAACTTTGCTACGTGCTACTACTATGTGCCGGGAATGAAAAGAGCTTCAATCCTTATTACGCCCATCTTGCACTTTTTTTCTGCAACAAACACAAAAAGGCAAGTGTCTTCAAATCTAGTTAAATAGCAATGCCGCTTGAAAAGAATGCGAGTTGTGTCTTCTAGAACTCTCGTTTTTTTTCACTATGGCTCCACAAAACAAATAGTTTGGTTACTTTTCTCGTGTTGAGATAACTCCCTGGGTTATTCAGGTTCACTTTCAAGATTTTTGATTATCTACAAATTTAAACTCGACCGTCAGACTGACAAGTAACGATGTTACAGCATATTGAGGATCTGGTTCATCTGTTAAAACTGCGTATGTATGTAGTTAATATTTATATTTTAATAATATAATATAATATTATATAATAATTGGTGATATATATGTAATATATAATAATAATAAGTTAATAATATATTGACTTTTTCTACTTGTCTATTCTAGGAGTTCTCGATGACTCTTCAATGCGCTATTTGGGACGCCATCAAAGCTATTGGCTCGTACTCTGAGAATAAAGTAACAAATCTTGCACGATTTACGGCGTTGCTCGTCTACCGCAGAGGTTTGCCGTTATCGGTTCTCAAAAATGTTGAGTTTGTTGACTTGTCAAACAATAAAGTCATACGATTCCTCAGGTGAGAAATTCGGAAAATAATATAATATATTACTTCTAAACATGAATATCTAGTTCACCCAATACGGTTAATTTCCAAAAATGAAGATTAGTTCTTGTATATAGTATTGAACGTTGTTTAATACTCAATGCTTTACCCGAAGAAGCCTAATGAAATTGTAGCTACATTTCTAGATACTATAATTGCTTTGAGTATCACGTACGACTTTATTACAATATAATCCAAATGTCTATTTGGCTAACATTTGCAGGGTTCTTTTGTTAAATGTCTTATTAAATCTAAAGAGTGAAGATGTTTCGGTCTTGTTCGCAAAAATCGCTCTGGCAGGACCAAAATTGGAACTTCTCAAACAAGGACTCGGTATTTTCCTCAAAAGATTCCTTTTAAGTAATATGCACCTGGATGATGCGCAAATGAAGAAAGTGAAAAAGAACATCGAAGCGGCTGAAGAAGGTCTCAGTACACAAATTGAAAAATCTGAAGTTGACATATTTGAATAGGCAATTAGGTATTTACGTCTAAAACTGATTTATTATATCCACGACGAGGAAAACTAATTTATTTTCTATTAAAACCCGTATCATCAAACACGGTGTTATGAAAAAACATTAATGCATAAAATCTCGTTCGAAGTTAGTGTTGTTATCATCTGTTCATTTGGGGACTAAGTTACTGGTATTCAGTGAAAGTTCTTTAAATGCTATGCTCTTTGATCCCTTTTGCCAAAGGCAATTGTGACGGAGAATCGTTTCTGATTTATATATTTATTGTTATCTAATGCTGTAGTTTTTTCAAAAATAGATGTGCACCTGTGTACATAGAAACGTAATAAATACGCAAAATCAAACCAGATAATGTGTAATTAATGCTTACAACTTTTGACGGCTATTCGTAACGAAGAACACGAGCCAGTTAGCTAAATATGATATGCAATTTATGATACACGCAAGAGACACTCTATAATATTACAAATATCGAAGGTGACTTGGATTAGTCCGCAAATATAAACGACTCACCATGTCATAACTACATCTGTGTTAACTGCACCAAAAACATTCTTCTTACAAATTTAATCGAAATTTCTTAGTCGTTGTTCAAGGCTTACATAATTATGTAAAAAAAACTCATCGTAGTTTTTAATAGGACAACGAAACTACGTGCGGTCTTAAATTTGGCCTTACTTAATCCTTATGAGGACTTTATATATTTGTTTGAGTTTTGTTTATTTTGTTTGAGAACATATATAAGCATATTACTCACCTGTGAGGAACAGGCCACAAAGCGATTTTTTATTATCAGCTTGATTTAATAAATACGTGTCGGTATATCATTGTTACTTTATTGTTATGTTGTTTGGTTTTTCAATCATATTTTGAATTATTGGTTATTCAGATTGCCGGCCTAGGTTGATATATGCAGTATAATGAATTGCCATATGAACTCTGCTTATCACGTCATATTTGAAACACATCTCCGTAAACTACGATCAACCAAAGTACTGTAAAGTCATTTATATATGCCGAGAAACAATAGAGTTCTTCGTTCGCAGATACTATTTTATCATACACACTCCGAAACTTCGTTCTGGGTTGTTTTCTCAAGAAAAGCTTGATCAATCGGATGAAACACGGAGCAACATTATGGATTCAGTGGGATAACCCCATCAGTTTATCGTCACTTTGATCTGTATAGTTGAAGTTACCTTTCTTGCTAATATATACCCTATGGAGCTAGAGAAGTTCTCCGGATTTCTTTCCGTAGTGCCAATCGTTCATAGTCAAGACTATACATCATGTACTCGCCTAACTATATACCGCTTGAGGTACCCGCCCCACGAAGCTCGATATTTTTATAACTTTTGTTAAAAGGTACACACAGCAGCAACATTTAAAGAATCAAATTCTCATCTTGTGTGTGTATTGCACCATAAACTCCTCTTCGATTTCAATATTCGCGGGCTGAGAGGCTACCGATCGCCCGGCCGCCAAAAGTGGGGGCGCTGCAATCCGCGGAATCGAGTCGGCGCATGTTAAGCCTTAGTCGAACCTTTTTAACCGAGGAGATGCCTGGATTCACTGAGGCGGTAAGGATTTTTGCTAAAATAGTGCATTTTTCGCAAACTTTTTGTCGCGTGCATGTCTGTCGACAGATATCCGTGATACAGCAAACCTTTACGGTTGTGAAATATGCAAAAATCGATGAAGTTCTACGAAAAACGTGATTGTTTTTTTTTGGCAGCAACGTGTGCCCTGTGGCCTATTCGTTCACGTGTATACTGATTCGCTAACGACCGTATAGAAACTTTTTGATTGTGCTCAATATGTTGTCTAGATGTTCTACGATGGGTGTTTTTTTTTTCGCGCAAGTCGTCCTAGATCGTAGACTGCACTTAAGCTCATTGTTCGGTTTTGACCGGCATGTGATGACGAAATCCTCGTGTTTAGGTCGTGAGCCTATATTGCTATAAGATAGTGTTTTTGATGTGAAGTGAAAACAAGAATGAATTTTTCATTTGCGTGCTGTGTTGCTTTCTTGAATTTCAGCCGGTTTACATCGACGGCAAGGGGCACTTGCTCGGCCGTCTTGCATCTATCGTCGCCAAGACTCTTCTAACCGGTAAGCTTAATTGTACGAAGTGGCGTGTAACGTGAATGAAAGCTCGTGGTAGTATGCAAGCTCTTCGAAGGAATGATGCTTCGTGATTGAGAGAAACATATTTGTGTGTAGGTGCTAGTAGAAACAATTAGAATTTTACTAGGGATCATTTTCAGTATTGTTCGAAACGCTCTTGTGGGGGAAGAAGGGTTTGTCATTTTGCGGTTGATCGATGAGGCAAGGTATCTTGGGACTGCACGAAGCCTTATGTTGGACCTCTAGGACCTTGCAAAATTAAAGTAGTTCCCAGATAGCGATTCGTTCTTGCATCGATTTGCAATGGCGGTGCTGTGGAGTCAACATTACCAATTCAGCTTTTTTCGGTTTCACCATTACTGTTTGACAGGCAAATCTAAAGTCTGCAATCTCTAGCATTGTTGTACAAGCACAAAAATCTTATGTGTAGGTTGAATGGGTAGAGCAGATGTTGTTCAGTACGCAAATTAGTGCCATATTTATGGTAATGGTGGGTGCAATTCACAGATCAGGACGAGGATTTTTAAGTCAATAGTTAATATGAAACAGGTTGGCGTATTGTTAATTAGCTTAATGATTATTACATCTGCACGTTATGTGACAATTTCATACACCCTGGTTTTGTATGTATGCAGATACGTACCCGTGTAGGCTGGACTCACATCCCTGTAACATTTCACTTGGCTACATGTCAGGCATTTTCGTGTCGTGATTTGTTGGCGATGGCCATTTAATGCTATTAACCAGCATTTATTCGCTGTTCTTGATCAGGTCAGAAGGTTGTCGTGGTTCGATGTGAGGCGTTGAATATATCCGGCGGTCTCTTCCGCAATAAACTTAAATACCTCGCCTTTTTGCGCAAACGCTGCAACGTTAATCCGCAACGTGGACCGTTTCACTTCCGCGCGCCATCGCGTATTTTTTGGCGAACAGTGCGAGGTATGCTGCCTCACAAAACAGCCAGAGGCCAGAAAGCGCTTGGCAACTTGAAATGTTTCGAGGGCATTCCGCCAGCGTACGATGTAAAGAAGCGCATGGTTGTACCTGCTGCCCTGAAGGCCGTTCGCTCGAATCCCCGTCGCAAGGTCTGCAAACTAGGTCGACTGAGCTCCGAGGTAGGGTGGAAGTACGCTGACGTCGTGGAGACGCTAGAGGCCAAACGGAAGGTTAAGGGATATCTGCGCTTTAAGCTCGTTAAGCTGGAGAGGGTAAGTTGTGTATACTGTTTTGTTTATGTGTTTCTAACCGATGCAGCCGTGCTTCAAATGTGTTTTTAAGTTATATATATATATATATATATATGAGAGAGAGAGAGAGAGAAAGAAAAAGTAGAAAAAAGAAAGTAGTCAAAAACATCTCTTGACTACTCTCCGTATATATTTGTGTTTTCTGTTCTGTTGGCTTTGTCTCGCTCATTGTTTGCATCATGTTCGTGTTTCGTCTTGGTTACAAAAATTTAAATGATATCCATTCAACTATTAAACTCCCAATGTTAAAGCACGCGCCATTTTATTTTGAGCTTGTGTGATTACATATTGTCAATACATTGTGGAAATGTTTCTGCATCTCTTTGATCCATGCATGATTTTTCTCGTCTGTGTGGAATTTACCGATGCTACACAATTTGTTTGCGCGTCGTACAAGTGACAGCTGCGTTTGCATTTGTCGCTACATAAACGCTCTACATTGGATTTTTAATTTTTTTTTTATCCTACGAAATATTGCTTAACAAATTTACTCCATCCATACCGCATGTATGCTATTGTTATAACCTCGCGAATTTTCAACGTTACTGCTAACATCACACCCGGCCAGTAGTAATACTGACGGCACGCTTCATATAATTTGCAGAAGCTGAAGAAGCAGGCGAAGGAGAGCGTCGAAAAGGAGATCGCTCCGATTCAGAAACAGTTGCTGGAGCTTGGCTATTCCTGCTAAATAGTAGGAGGTATGCTTGTATTTCTTGTGGCGGGGAATAAACGATGCTCCTGTAAAATATCACGTGTCCTTTATCTAATCTATTTAAAAGTTCGTTAGACTGGAGTAGGTAGCATTCTGGTATGAGGCGTATTCTGAACGCTAACGACTCATGCTCCGATTAACTAGCACAGACTGTTTCGGTGATATCTATTTGACTCAGTAGCTCTCTGTGATAGTGCCTAGCTTGTGTAAAAAACTTTACATGTGATAAAGGTGTGGGGTAACGAATAGCAGCAGGTAACTTTACGGTGCTTCCTATTAAAGGGCTTGCCGTCTCAACAGCCTGCTAGACTAAATAATTTATTAATATACTCAACTGGCCGAAATCCTTTGCGAGTTATACCGTGAATTTACATGCGTTACGGAACTTGACCAAATTTGACCATTATGTGAAGCATTTAGGTACAAAAATATGTAAGATTATTATATTGGTTGCTCCCATAGCAGGGTGCACTCTGTGACAAGCGTCATGAATGGCTTGCATCAATTTAATACCCTGCTAAAATGAATTTCCCTGGTTCGTTTCAAGTTAATAACCCTATTTGGCGTTAGCTGTGAGTGGAATACATAACGGACACTTAGATAATATTTGAGACTAGTTTTTTAGTCAAATGCAATTTTTCTGCGGGTCTGAAAAGTACAGTGAACATTTCATCTGTCCTGTATTTCAAAGCCACGCTAAAGAGATACGATACTAAGCAGATCTCGTGATCGGTAAAACCAGCCGACGGGACTTACCAGTTTCGAACATCTGATTTTTTTTCACCTAATTACCACGACAGTGAATTTTTTTCCACACGTATTCGAAGATACACAACGAAATTAAGTAATTCGTTGAGAACCTGCGTCTCTTCGTTCCTCGTTGGTGTCTGTTTTAGAGCCTTCAAGGTCCACAGAGGCGCTACAGCAAGAAAGTCCCGTCATCATCGCAAGCCGACGAATTCGGTGTGCGGCTTAAACGGTTCGCCATACCACATACTTTTAAAAATTGGTTGAAAGCTTTGGGCGTAGAAGCAGCAAACATTCCCGGTGTGAGACAGACAGTCTTATGACGGTACATGTGTCTGCAAAAGAAACCCCCCATTGACATTAAACTCAAATGCTCATCGGAGGTATTTATACTCCTCCAGCAATGGAGTGGTCGTCGAACATAGAAATACTAATTTAACAGAATGTTTATCACTAGTGAGTGTATTCCTTTTCTGTAAAAACTACTTAGTGGTTAAGCTATGATACTCACTACTTATTATACAGGTATTGCCAGTAATATATTCTTCTTAAAAAAGCTTTTTCTGAAAGTCATAAGTGACTGAAGGGTGGATTCTCAGTAAGAAGCACATACATTAAACTCACAGGAGTTTCAGAAAAACAACACTTAGCGCGTGGAGATTGTCTATAAGAAGGATTTACATCAGAAGTATTTTCGAACGACCATCTTGTAGCAGCGGCGAAAAACTAAGCCAACAACCACCACCACAGCAACCACCTTCAACAAAGGTGACAGAGGAGGATGTCAAGATCAAGTAACTATGAAGCTTGGTGTTTAAAAGTAAAGCATATTACTAATGAAGCGAACTTGGAACTATTTTGCGACTAGACTATCTGAACGCGCAAATAAGCCGACAAAGCGTCGCCCAATAAGCGCTGCATGTATTTGTATTGGTGGCCATTGTTGATTTCTGGTCTTGAATGTAGCATCCTTACTCTGGAACAGTTACAAGATAATTTGTTGACTTACCTTGCAGGTCGACCAAAACAGGTATGGTGACCTGTCCAATGGTCGATACTGTCTGGACGAGTTCATCATTATCTGGCTTCGTTTAAGATAATTTTAGTCTGTCCCTAGATGAAACTATTACCTTCTCTCATAAGTTCTCAAGACAGTGTTCATCTTCGACTACCTTTAGCATTAGATGAATTTCTGCGCTCCTGACTTAAAAACAGTTGCAAAATGTGCGTATACTTTTTCTGTTAACTTATTCAAATTCACTTTCTCCTCCCGTTCCTGCCAGCACACCATCCGCCTACTAACTAGCCGACAAGATTATTTAGCACCAAGCGCAAACAGAGAAGCACAAATAGGCTTTATTAGTGTAATCTTAAGATTGAAAACGAGTGAACAGTGTATGCCTTAATGTTGATTCAGAGGCGTATTTCAATGGACTCGTTATACCAAACAGTTGGAACAGAAGGTTGCTTGATGATTATATATAATCAACCGACTACTTCGTACCAATGATATTATACACAGCCATATCCGTAAACCATCTGCTTCATTAAAACAACAATTTAAGATATGAGAAACAGTCTAGATCAGAATGTTAATGTGCTTTTGCGCCCAAGCTTCATTCTAGATTTTTGAAAATTTGTACTAAGCAAGTTTATAAGTTTTCTGCAAATAATTAGTTTCAAAGTTATTTAATAATTAGTTAATAATCAAATAATTAGTTATTAAGGGTCGACAACATTTCGTAAGCACTGGTACTCATTCCCACGGTGTTCCAATCTTTCAGAGCCATTGTGGATTATAACGTGCGAAAACAACGATGGACTGCACAGTGCGACTAAGGCGAAAGCAGCCCTGCGCTCTGACTTTATCCTTCAACATTGAAAAACTTAAATGCGGAAAACTTTATGTAGTTTATGCATCAAGTGTGCTTGAGCTAAGCTTATAACTATAGTTAAGCTTACAGTCGCAGATTGTAGCAAGATTTCCTTTCGATGGTAGCCTCCATGGTAGGCAAAATATTTCTTAATCTGCAAAAATGATTTCGTTTAAGAAGGTCGGGTTGTCAATTTTCAAGCAGTTCGACTACATTCAAACGAGTACATGAGCTCTATCGACGTATCGAGACATAGACAGACCAAACTGATACACGTAAATAATAATTAGAAAGGGCTTGTTATATAATCGTGGCAGCTGTCATTCTCGGTAGCAAAGCGAATTCATGCTTTCTTTCGTCAAACACTGGCTGCAATAACATTAGCTTACTTAGATGACCTGCCGACGACCAGCTAACAGTCGAGCTTGGTTTACAGGGTAAGGACAATTTTTATTAGCAACTGTGGACAGCAAGTTTTTCAAGAACACAGTCTGCTAGAGTGTGTTGTTCTACGAGGCTTGCCATAACAAGCGGTTCATGATTTTTCCTTTCTTGATTTATTCTTGTCAGGTCGGGATATACGGTGAACGAATAGCAAAATAAGACCTACGTTAGACGTGCTTAAGATGATGATTATTACGGAATGATTACTTCTTTAAAAGTTGGTTGGGAGCACTTCAACAGGCATCGATGAGCCTTTCAGACTGGACGATGTCAACAAAAAAAGTGCAAAATCAAAGCAAAGCCAAGCAGACGGACGTGTCACGACTATCGTATGCATTGTTCGTTTACCCGTTTCGAACAAATTTAATCTACAAGGATTTAACACAAACATTACCAATAGGCAGAACCTCTAATAACGGTCATAGCTTTTTTGCCACAAACCAGCGACGCAGTTAGAAAAGTCGACTTTATTTAAGGCATCACTACATCACAACATTTTTCTTAAGATCTCATGATTCTATCACTTATTTTAATTAGGCACAGCGTAAATATATAACAACAAACATAGAGACACGTCTAAAGGGATATAGCTAATTTTACAGAATGTTCAATACAGAATATTCAATAACTGTATGTATCCATACAATTTCACAAGATAACACGCTGAAGAGAACAGGCTCTATATTATAAAATACAAAATATTGTATATTTCTCCTTCTTGCTTAAAGGATGGATAATGTTCTTCGTCATGGTTGAAGGTTAGTGAAGGGCAAAAATAATACGCTGCGTTTTTTACAGTAACAAAAACACAAGGAAGAGATAGTAATAACATCTCTTCCTTTTAATGAAATTTGCCATATTTTCTGCCACTTTTGTGAAGCAAGCTCGTAGTGCCATTGCAGTATGTTAGTTTGGGGCAGCAGTGTAGTGAGTGCAATTTCTGGTAACAATATTTGGTTACAGCTTGGTTATTAATTTTGAATTCTGTGATTTTTTTGGTCTGGTATTGTATTGTATACAGAATTATTTGACTGGAACACGTATTGTTAAACAAAGCAATATACAGAACAATATGATAAACGCAAGAAGACCTTAAGGATGGTGCGATTTCTAAAAACACATTGGCGCTGGCGATAAATTAAAAAAATCGCAAAAACAAAATATTGATTAACATAAATAATTATTCATGTCGCCAGGTCCCCACCAACCTTAGTAGCAGCTGCGTGAACATCACCAACACGCATTCACAAGCAAGCGCAGCTTGAGTAGCTATTCCACCGCAGCTGATAAATGCAGTGCTTCCCAATGCGCATTATGCGCATTATCGAACCACTAAACCCTTAGCTACACAGCCCTACTACACACCCAACCCCTAACTACACACCTGCCCGGTGGCGTGCACGTCACATTTTCTTTTATTCCTTCCAATGCTATGCCATTTTTGGCCTTTATGTACCTGCATCCCAACCATTCTATCGTTCGAATTGGAGCTCAGAAAGATACGACAATTGCACTAGCTTTATTGGTATTATTTTCGAAATGAGCGCTCAGTATATACCTCCATGTAAATATACGTACACACGTGTGACTGCTGGAGTATAGTAGACCTTTTCTGTTTCCGGCATGGAACGAGGACATTCTATTTTCGTGAGTTGCGCATCAAACCGAAAAATAATTGTTGTTGAGTATAGGTTGTGGCAGACACTTGGAAAAGAGAAAACAAAAAGAATGGGACAAGAGGACATAGTGAGGCGACTGCCATCTTCTTTGCTGCAACTCAAGCACGAGTGAATTCGAATTGAGGGATAGCAATCGTTGGCTCAATCAAAACAATCAAGTCCGCGGGCTTATCTTTCAAAACGCGATAGAAACTCCCAGTCTTCAATACGCCGAACCTACCTGGAGCACAGTTTTACAGTAAATACACACTGACCTCGAAAATTCAAGCGAAAAACGAACGTCCTTTTTCTAAAGATTACCGCCAAAGGTACCTCCCTGCTATTTTCAATGGTACAATGACACCAACAAGACATTTCTGGCAGTTTTGACTTAATATGCATACTATTTATACACGTAATGAGAAATAAACAATGGTCTTATTTTACGGCAGGCGTTTTTCATACATTCATAAGTTTATCAATATGCTAAAAATTATTTGTTCATTGTAAAATAATATCAATTGAAGAATTAGCTACAAATATTTCAGTAGTCATTTATGTTGTAAATGCAAAACAAAACCCAAAGATCGTTTAATTTTACTTAACCATAAATAGTAGCTAACCATGAAAAACTAGAGAAACAAAAATAATCATAGTTGAAATAGCAGTGAAGTAAGTTGTATAAGTATGCTCTCCTATAGTAAACCTATAATGAACTCAGCATAGTTAAATAAAACAACAAACTTAAACGCTTTATTTTGGAGGCTTCATCTTTCTCTCGACAGCAACAGTCTTCAGCAAACGAGTTTTATCTCGGAAACTCTATTGGGCCGATAAAAAATCAATTCTCTTTACTCTGCTAAACAGTTTTGACCTTAAAGTACATGAAATATTCGTCGGAAGCATTTAAGGAGTGGATCGCCGAATACGAGACTAGATTTGGTAAAAAATATATCGGCAAATTAGAGTTTGATACCACTAGCAGACCCAATGGCAAAATTTACGTACTGTATATCAAATGGAAATGCCTACACATCCACCCACATATATATATATATATATATATATATATATATAGGCATTTCCATGTGGTTTTTTATGATGGTAAACTCAGTGGTCAGATGGCATTAAAGACAGAGTACCGAACTACTCACTATCCACATTCGAAAAACTTCAAAAACAATTTTCAAGCCACTCTTGGTGGACGTTAGTGCGGCGCATCGAAAATTTCAAAGAAGGAACACTATTAGTTACTTTTTACTAGATACAAATCATAAAACATAGCAGTCTAACGTTTTGTGGCTTGCGTCTACAACATTATAATGTAACTAAATACCTGAAAGCCGAACAGCTCTGTCGGACTTACACATTGGTGAGCCATCAGTACAAGAAAATAAACAAGAAACAAGTACTTTGCCTTGTTCTGCAAAAAAAAAGTTGAATTGGTCCTATACTTGGCAAATAGGCACAAGACGCTTGCTGTTGTACGCGTCAGAAATCTCTTAGAGCCCTATCTAGTAAAATTCTTTCGGAATGCAAAACAGTTACAATTTGAAAAGGGGCCTGGTTACAAACAAATATTTTGTAAATGTTTTGACGCCCTTACAAAACTTCGACCAAGTCGGCTACGGCTTGCACCATCCATTTTCATAGTACTGTTCATTCGGCTAATAGGACTTTTTGTGAATCGCTTATATACAATAATCTAATCCTTCCATGGCGGTTTATTTGAAAATTGAATATAGTCTTATTATAATTTCGTATTCGTCATCGACAGTCTAGCCCAAAGAAATCAACCTCAAACTCTTCTGATGAGTATAAGCTTTTTTGGGCGCCTACCTTCTTTTTTAAAATAGCGTTTACTCTGTAGGTGTCGACTGGATGCTCGAAGTAATAAATGCAGATAACTGACATCCACTACAGAAAATAGTGGGAATTCTTGCAGACGAATGCTCATTCTACAAATCAAAGGATGATGAGGAATTAGATCGCCCTTTGCGACCGTTGCCAGAAATTGCTTTTCTCAAACCATATGAAATTTTGTTGAAATCTTAGTATTGACTGCTAACGTTGTATTCAGAATAGCCGGGAGTTGTCGGCGTAGGCGTGATTTCCATATGGTTATATTCCCAGTAATGTTCGCCGTAACCGCCTCGTTTATCGCCCCAGAGGACATTTGTTCGGAATCGGGGTCCGTGCCGACTTTCATGCCGTTCGATGAAATTGTACAGATTACCCTTGCGAAAGCCGAACTCGTAAGTATCCACTTGCGGGAGCTTGGCGTACCTGCGTGGTCAAGATACAAATTCCTCACGATATAAAGAACGAACTTGCTATAACATTTCACATGGTGCAAAGGACAATATAATTACACAGTGTTGAGTGTTTTCGTAAGCTGGCGTTTGCCTAAACCTCGAGAAGAGTAGGTATTTGTCTAATGTGAACGAAAAATGATATGGTAACTAAGTGATTTATTTTTATAGGCTGCCTTTTCCGAACTAGAAACCTTAAACTGTTAATGGACCACTTTGCGTTTTTTTTTTGTTGCACCTATTGACTGAAATAATCCTCGCGCTGATTGACCATAAGTAATGCAAACTTGTTTGATGTCCATGTTTAAGAATTTTTCTTCGATTACTAAGAATGCTTTTTTAGCTAATCAAGCTCCCCCGGCCTGCGCGTTCCTCCTTAAATTCTTTCATTACATAAAAATGCACCAAAATACGACTATTCTCCACAGCTAATATGACTTCACTAACAAGACTGTACTCACTGAAAATGTCCGTCACGCCCTCTTCCTCCACTGCCGTTCCCTCCATCACTTTCATCCCCTCCATTTATGTCCCCTCCATCACCTCCGTTCCCTCCATCTCCAAAGTCACTCCCGCCACCTTTGCCCATGCCCCCCGTTCCAAATCCGTTCCCACGGCTCCTACCGCCACCGGCAATTGTTTCTTGGTTCGTCTCGTCACTATGTGTAATCGCACTCACACTAACTGCGGACGGCGCTGTAATAGAAACAAGCGGTAAACGATGGATAGGAACCTTGATAGCCGATGAATAAGAGGAGGATAAATTAGATGGACGTTGGGAACTATCACGAGAGAGGCTTGAAAGTTTTGAGTGCAGGTTTCTCGCGTGAACATCTCGGAAGGGCGATGCGGGACGAGTATGGTCATTCAGTAAAGGTGCCGAAGTTGGTGACATGAATAATCGGCTAGCAGTAGATGAGGGCTCGTACGCCTTCGATGCTACTTGTAAGGCCAGAGCTTTAGTGGTGAGGAGTACGAAAATCGCTACACTAAGTATCAAAGATGCTGTCAGCTGAAAAAACAATTGAACATATTTCATTTGCCAAAACGTGCAGAGAAAGCGAAAACCATTTCGGTATATTTTTGCCTAAGAGCTCATTAACTGACTTGCCTCAAGCTGATTGGATGCACAAGTAAAAATGACAAACCAATATTATTTCTCTTTGGTGAGACCATTGACAGGGACGCTTACCTATTTAAACCAAGTTGGTGATTATGTTCTAACTCTCATTGTACAGTTATCATTTGGTTTTTGGAATATTGTTAGCAATATGCATGTCTAAATATCCAATTGAAAGGTTTGAATAAATAGGGCTAAAGCAGATCCCGATTATAATATATGTGAAACAATAGATTTAAAAATTTTTTATAGATGTTTATTAACGATTTAATGAATTTAGACAAAACCATTTTAATAGTACCCTTTAAAATAAGCACTACGGCCGATAGTGATAGAGCTTGACCTGATCGAATGTCAAATCATATATATCCGGCAATGTTTCCAACAATGGAACATTGAAAATACTTTAAAACCTACAAAAACATCTACCATGTAAGAAATCTGCACCATGACATGTCTGAACGCTAATCTACTGATTCTCTCGACACCAACAACCTACCGAAAAACGCGTCGCTTTCCGTTGAAGCATCATGTCGCACCTGTTCCAACGCAAATGATCTAATCAGTGGTCAGCTGTCCCTTAAAAGCAATTCGAGACTGGGGGTTTGTTACGTTGCAACTCCCCTACAATCATCGGCTTATCCCGAACGTAGCGCACAAACGCTACACATGGCCGAACTGACTTCCAACAGCTTAAAGTGAAACCCTCCGAAGTCGTTGAAGCGACTGAACGCGTTTTTACAGGTTTTCCGTAACACGCTTATTGGCTGTAGTGCATGACGTTATCAGACTGTTTGCTGGGGAGCAAAATTCGAAATTCAGGCTACTTCGTCAAACGTCACACACTACGTTCGACCGCGTCGAACTTGCGAGAATCGGCATGGAAGCGGAGCTTGAATCTAGTTACCGCATTCACGCAAACATCACACGAAGCGGCACGAAGAAAACGCTAATAACGATAAGCACCAAAGGACTAAGCATACGCGACACATACGCTAACGACATTCCCGTCAGCTTTCGTTTGCCATTTGACCGTAAAACAGTTTTTTTTTTACGGAAGTCCAAGTAAAAGAACAATTTTTAGCTTACACCCCATTAAGTATGGAATTAGGAAACGATTTCAAACAATGTTTTATTTTTGAGGATACTATTGTAAATATTGTCATTTCTAGTATAACCATTCGCTAAATTCACATACGTCTCACGTGTATTGATTAAATAAACGTTTTTAGATTGAAATCCATAGTACCCCAACAATCAAAATTTGATAGATTTATATCTTTGAACCATTTCTAAAGGTTTTGATTATTCAGTAAGTATTTTATACTTTTTTTGAAGAGTCAGTCTAATTAGCGTAGCATCTGAGCATAATTAATATTTTGTTACGGATTTTATGTAAATTTTTGTATGTAATAGATCACTATTTCACAGATCTCCGTTTGCCTAAAATATGATTTCAAATAACAGCCAAAATTGCACTGTTGTAATTGAAAGCTTTTAATCTATGGCTTTACAAATGCGTGAAGTTCTCATACACTACGATGTGTTCAGACCGATTGCACTTTGAAAAATCTGCTGCCAGTCATCTTCATTCAATATGTATACCGCAAGACTTATATTTAGTTCGTTTTAACATTAACTACAAGCATTTGCTTATTACTTATTAAACAATTAAAGTGAAGCATAAGAACAACATTCCTTAAATTCAAAAAATTCTGAACGAAATATGCTGTAGTATTAATGGACTTATAGAAAATATATCCCTACGCTGACCTGTCACGAGGTTACAGGAACCCATTTTGGTTAAATACGTAACCATTTCTAGAGTTTGTAGACGTTACTTCGAGACCGGTAGCTTCGCTAGTGTAAATAAAGGCAATGCTGAAAATCACGAAATTGTTTGAATTTATATTTTTCATTTCAGGTACAAGGACATTATAGCATCCCCTTCATCTTAATGAAATTATTGGTTTCTCAAGATAGTATCAAAAAAGAAATAAAATAAAAATACAAGTGGATAAAAAGAAATCTATGGGTTAATGAACAAAAATTCAATGCATTTGTGCACATTTATAAAGATCGCTAGCTATTGTTGTAACTAAGCAAAGAACCTTGTTGGTGTTTTTAATCTTTGATTTTATTGCTATGTAACCTATAGTTTCTAATATTATTATGTTAAACAGGTGTACTTTGCCCTACAATTTAGATAACACAATGATCATAAGCATGTGTGATACGAACATAAAACAGTGTATGTTCTATATTCAGATCACACATATTATCAAAGAGACTCCAGCCCCCCAACGAACGTGGATAATTCAATAATAATTTGTTGACATGTTTGTCGTAGCGAAATTTAATTAAAATACTTTAAGCTACCAAATACAAATACACATAGAAATGACCGGTAACAGAGCAAGAGATGTGTATTTTCCCTACAGCTGTAACAATAACTTTAGTATAAGAAGAAAAATTGTTAGATTTAGCGTCTTCCTTAAATGCATTGACTAAAATCAATCTGTTCATTTTGTAGAATTTGTCGCATCTCTTGCGTTAGTAAAGCGTTTAACGAGCGGCCGTCGTGCTTGTAAATCCACTCAGAGTCTATATAATCATACCTGCAATTGGCAAACGTAAGGAACCAACTTGATTAAATCTGATTAAGTAAATGAGTTATAGCTTTTAAACTTAAACAAACGTAGGTCAAAAGACTTAGATGGAATATGAACTTTACTAAACTGGAGTCGATATTTGTTGTACTATTTAAAAAAAATCAATCGACAAACATCGAAAATTTCTTTATCACTTGGGGGTATACAATAATGAGTTAAGTTTTGGTTAGTTGAAAGTACTTGCGGCTCGTGTTTCTACTTCCTTAACGTGAAGTCAATGCAGGCGAAAGGTTTTTAAGGAAGTGTTTATAGACAGATATAATTTTATATTAATCTGTCCAAATAAAATTGTTTCTTGGCTGAACAACTAGTCAGTTCCATTAATTTTGTTGAACAAGGTAGGTTATATAACAGAAACGTATTCTGCTACTCACTGCAAAGCTAACGCAAAGTGAACCATTATCGGAAGCTGAAATGGCCTGTGGAATACCAGAACCAACTCGCTTAATAGAATAGTAACTCATCGACGTAAATCATCAGTGGCCACTAGCTATACACTGTCCTGAATAGCTATGCATTTAAATTCTTCTAATAAAGTGAAGCTCGGCATATCGTCATTCATTTACCTCTTAGGTCCTGAAATAGGACTGGATAACCATATTTGTCTATTTGGAGTTTGCTTGTTGATGACATAGGTCCCGTGGTTCTGGCCTAACATAACAGTTAGTACGCCGTCGCTTAAATTCACATCAGCGTCCGTCACCTCCTCTAGTAACTTTTCAAAATATTCGCAGAGATTCTCAAGACTAACTTTGCACACTTTGTCATATTCAAACTCTGACATTTCGCGAGCAACTGGGGTCGTCTGGAAAAGCCGATGTGTCGGTGCTATCGAGGCGTCAGCTCCCTGTAAACATGCTGTCGCAAGCACAGGTGTTAGCCTGGTTTGTAGACTCGAAAATCCTGTCCGTAGAATTAGCTTTGCCGCAGGTTGCCATACTGCACAAGTAATTGCCCTGAGCAACATCACCTTTAAATAAAGCTCGAATAAAATTTGCTTAACTACTTAAACTTTTTCTTGAATAAATATCACAATAAGATCGAACGAGCGAGGTCGCGCAGAAGCGGTAGAATACGGCATTGTTTATAGCAGGAGTTTCGCGTAACGGCGACTAGATGGCGCTGTGATCGCACCTTGCACTCATCGCTCATTATCCAACGAGAAACGAGTCTGATTGTGAATGCTAACCTCCAAACATATGTTTGGTAATTTGTAAATGAAGTTATCTATGATGTCTCATGAAAAACAGAAAAATCACGTCAACTTTTGCTTAATTGCGTAAACTATTTGTACAGATATGACGGGTTTATTAAGCGAGTGTTAGTAATGTCATTAGCACACCTAGTAACGCGCATTAGCATACTTAGAAAGCTTTGCGTTTTTCTTTTTAGACTTTAGAACATGCTTTTCATGATGGCTAAATTATTTATTTTCAGATGCATCCTTTGCTCCATGCATGGGAAAAACAAGTGCTTGTTTAATGTGACCCATATGTTTTTACAGCTAAAAGTAAAAACGTTGTGAAACATTGCGATAAAAAAAGTACATCGCTTGCTTTAGCTTCGAATATTCACAAATTATTCATATTAGCACATTTATTATTATTAAGTATTTACAGATTTATATACTTGCACAATTTGTTTTGTGGTGTTGTTTTCGTCCTCGGTTGTTGTATCCTTCAGTGTGGCGGCTCCGGGATATTCTACAGAGTTATTATTATTATTATTACATAATATAATTACTATTATAAGTTTCTAATCATCATTATTAATGTACACAAATGTTCTCACAAATAGACACAACGTCTACCACTTGATCACTACTCTCAAATGTCACTCTTTATTACAATTGTATTTCACGATAACTTCTAACGCTTATCACTTGGCCATTCATTCACTCAGTATTGTATTACTTTCTTTTGTTTTTCGGTCTCTTCAATGAGTCAATTCTTGTATCACAACTTATATGTTTTCAGTCTTCGGTTCAGGTCATCATCGGCATCGGTATAAACCGCGTAAGCACAGTCCTTTTCGTCAACCACGATATATATACATTACATACCTTTAGAAGATCGCTTCTTTCTATTCATTCGCGACACCGAAAACAGCGAAATGCAGTTGTATTTGCATTCATTCATTCACACACACACGTACATATGCACGCACGAAGACACAATCTCTGTCTAACTCACGTCCGGACCTAATTAATATAAGCGTGAAAACTGTACTTGGTAGCAACCACACTGTTTTAGAGTTGTAAGAAGTATAAAACAATAATACCCAGAAGAAATACAGAGGACTGTATCAGCCAATCAGAACATGATCTTAATCCACTGACAGATTTGGTTTTCAGCATATTTTTGTAAATCCCGTTTCACGTCTAGTTTGAGATAAATACGTCGACTAACAAACGTAGTGGCGATAGGACACTCTATCATATCAGTATTTGGCTATATTCTACAAACATATTACGACATCGGTAGACAAAAGTCATCATTCACCCCACCTATCATAAAATCATCGCGCGAAATCTATAGCTCACTTTCATTTGGACACAGATGCATACCTTAGACTTATCGCACACACAGACATACGTGCATACAAATCTTATCATCAATTTTCTCCAAGAATGAATTTCTGAAAAAAACAACAGCAAACCGAAAACGACATCTGACAGTTAATTAAATTAACTGTTAAACAAACTAAATTGGGCCACAAGGAAATCAGCTTGCTTTAATAACAGAATTGTGTACGGAAATGCACGTCGGCCAATGAACTAATGCTAGCAAGTGTTACGTATATATACCCATATAACAATTGCAGTCCCTACAAATAAACTGAACAGTGTAGCTAGAACCGAGCGTTATTATACGTATAGTTAAGTCGAATGGATGGAAAGAGAGGGGGGAATGAGAATTCAATAACGATCCATTGCCCGGCAAACACGATCTCAGCACCGCAGAAAAAACCTAACAAGCACGTCCATAAAAAGCAGTTTCATTAGTGTCACGGACAACTCATCGAATTTTAGATAGCATACTGAAGGGCTAAGCATTTTTATGAGCCTTAGTAAACGATGTGATACCATTCGTTAATACGGTATTAGTGTATGAAATTCCCAAGTGCCTATTTAGTCGGCACGGACGCAGGTGGCACATCATATTGATTACGAACGGGATCACTTAATTAGATGGCGCTAAGACCTGCATCTTTGCTGTTTTCAGAAATATTATATACATCCTTCAAAATCCACATAATGGTGGGCCTTACTTTGCCATAAAAGAACGATACATGGTAACAATTATATCTCTTAACATTGTCGGGAAACCAAAATGCACGAGAATCCATACAGTAATATTATCCCCTCTCGTGTGATCGGCTCAATACGGTCATTTGAATCGCGGTTTACCACCGCATAACAAATCTTCGAGTTCACTATATTGTAACAATTGGCATATATTTTATCACGTTTTCATTTTAGTTACGTTCTTTTTGACATTTTTTTAACCACTTCGCTAATTTGTCTCTCATGACTCGAATATTAAGTAATGTGTGCTACTGTATTAATTAAAGAACCTTCTTGATCCAATCACCTAACCTTAGGGGTTTTGCTATAGAGGCACAAACGCACAAATCAAAACTGTGTGTGGCGACTGTCCACGCTTCAATGTTTAGGCATAAAATCGTAATAATTGTCATAACTCTGCGCCTTTTAGAGGTTTCCATCTTAACTCTAAAGTAAGAATGTACTTCAGAATATAAATTCAGAAAAATATAATAAAGAATATAATAAAAAAGAAAAAGGATTGGCCTGCAGACAATTCTACAGACTGTACTTAATGACAATATATACTTTTTTTGTTATAGCAAAATGGTAACGGCAGTTCTTACTTCTCTTTCAGAAATATGCAATGAATCTACAATACCTCCACTATGTTAGCCTCTTAGCAAAAGCAAATCTATAAACAAGAAACAAACACGTGAGCTGATTTCGGTCTTTCCTTGCACAATCGTTGCTTCTCTACCGACATAAACTGAAGCTGCAACAATGGTTCTTTCCTCAGTTTGTTATGTTAAATTTTGAATTACTGAAAATCTTACATAATGCACATAATATGCATGTATAATAACAGCAATTATAAAAATAATCAAAATTATCATTATTGTCATAACTACAGTGATCGGTGGCTATTATAATAGTCACGGTTATCATAGTTTGCTTGGCTGCAGCATCATGAGCATTTTGTCCATAAGAAAAGCTTGCTTTGAAAACACCTGGTGCGAGCTCAGGTACCCGTCGGTGACATACAAGCATGGCTCGAGGCCTTCTTGAACCGGTTTGCCATAGTCCCAACTAAACAACGGTGGGTACTGGTTGACCGAAAATAGATAGGACGCTTCTAGTCGACCATCCTTTGTAAGCATATGCAGGCCCCGCCGATTGATTGCCACAGTCACTTCACGCGAACCAAAAAATGAATCTAATGACCCCTGGAAGAAGGCACTCCCATAGAAAACGAGCTTGCGACACACGTCAAGGTAGTCTCTCATCAACGACGCCTTATCGGTGCTGCGGCATATTAGTAGATCACGGTATTCTTGGACAAGCTTTTTCTCAACACTCTGGCCAAATACTCGTGCTCTCTTCCGGAGATGCTTAGATGGCAAGAAATGAGCCGCTTTGTCAGTGGATGCCAGCACGTCACAGGCGCTTTGGCCATCCAGTTCAATTGCGGCCTGGAACGCAGCGAGACGAAGAGCAATGTGCTCGGTTACAGGATATCTTCCTGCAGAAAGATGACAAACAGGTTAATATAAACTGGCCAACTGAAGTCGTATATTTATGGCAGAATAACGAACTAATTAGCTAAATACGCATCTAGTGAAATTAGTAAAAACAGCTGAGATGCACATCTATAAAGATGAGCCTCAGATAGATTCGTTTAGTATTTGGTTTGGCTGTGCGTTCAGCATAAATTCCACTATAATGTACAAAAGCATTGGCGATAGCCCAAACTAATCTTTCTAGGCAATGCTTGTGAACAGGTGTGAATCAGACAGAGATAATTAGGACAGTAGCTACTTCTCACAATAACAATAATAATCATTTGGCGATAATATGCGCCAAGCTGTCCTAACAATGACATGACATCACATCCATAAGGGATAAATGCTACATTAGTTATCAAAATAACAGTACAAAAGTACAGAAGATAATCGTAGTACCTACCGTCTAGCACATTGCAACGGGCTTCGTGATAAAGCAGTTCAAGGACTGCAGGATTTCTTTGACAAATCCTACGTTCCTCCTCTTCATTCAAAGTCACGTTGCGTTGCAAGATGAGCTTAGGTTCTCCCACGATGGGCGCAGGCAGTTTACAATACACTTGTACTAAAGCTGTCCAAGCCTTGTACACGTCAAGGGGAGCACGACCTATCAACAGCAATATAATTAAATAAAGATTTTTGTTAGCTAGAAATCGTTCTTATATTGTTCGGCCCTAGCCTTCTTTGTATTAGGAAAATGCAAGAACCCAAAAATCAAAACAAAGCGACTTGTATAATAATACACATATACCAAACATTTCACGTACCAGGCTCCAGCTGAAGTTCGAAATCAGCGTTGGCTATCCATAGGGCAAAAGCAAGACATGCGTCCTGTCCGAGACCGGGTTCGCAAGGGGCGTCGGCGACCTGTTGTAAAATTTGTCCTGCAGTAATCAACGAAAGAGATTCCACTTGAAGCGCTAAACACGTTCGATTTAGAAGGTATACGCAACACACCTATACGAAACAAACATAGGTGATTATTAGAGGAAACGGCATGTCATAGCAAATGCATCATAACCTACTGTGGGTCACAACGTTTAGCCTGGCATGTCTGTTTTTTAAGCTTTTTTTAACATAAATCTAACAGGAAATATCATAATATAGTTTTAAAAAAGCATCGTTTTCTGCTATACTACTTGTTTATCATGTGTCCAGATTTGATGCGCATCGTAGCCCCTATTTAGCGTAACACATATACAGAGCAAAAACTGAAGGGTGCAATCCTGTTTATATGAGGTCACGATATCCATGTAATAATTATCCATAATTATAATAATGACAAATGACCACAATAATATAATCATAATATATATTGGTCTAAAAAATTGTCTCCTGTTTTTGCTATTCGTAAGTCATGTCGTACATTCAAACTATCCTCCTTTTTCGATAAAATGCTGACTACTAAGAAAACTCGGAAGATGTGTCTATTATTGACATCTGTGATCTAGGATAGTTGCGTTTGTCTATATTGAAATGAAGACCAGTGGCTAGTCAATCACTTTCGAGTGAAAATGAATGTCTTATTAGGGCAACACAGTTAAGACATATAACGGGGAGTTGGGAAATTGCCACACTGTTTAATGAAAAATCGATTCACGTCTATTTTCACAAATAATATTCAAAAACAGCGGCACGAATACGATTGCTTTAACCATTAGCTAAACATTTTTAATAGGCAGCAAAAAGGCTTTTCTTTTGAAAGAAGAGAATTCTTTTCGCCATGTCCTTCCCATTTTTTAATGTTGGGTTTCGATGCTTGACACATCAACTGTACGAGTAACAACCAAACATTGTCAGCTTTGGATGGAGCGACGGAACGACATATATATATATATATATATATATATTGCCTATCGTTAAAACACTTTCACTGGAATGTTATTGTTTTTTAAATCAAAATATGAGATCATAATGTATCGGTTACTATCATTGTGACATAGACAACATAGCACAAGTTATTAATAAACAGCTATATAGTAAGCAATAAAAAAAAAGTATAATAACAACGATAGCCTAATTGTTTCGAAAAAAAAAAAAACACTATGTAAACGAACTAATCAGCTCACCTGGCTTCCACGAGCTTTACTGCTGCCTGCTAATGAAGAGCTGCACGATGAAGGGGGCGGCGTGGCTGGTAGTTGTTGTTGTGACTGCGGCGATTGGTCCCCTCCTGGCGTTGTGTTGGACAACGTCGTGTGCTGCTGTTGGGTCTGTATTGAGGAAGGCTGGATTTGAGACTGCTGTTGCTGTTGCTGCTGGTTATTAGAAGTAAGTGGGGTTGTTGATGACGATGCAAAGCCGATCTGTGGCGGTTGCAGTTGTGGTGGCTGAGTTGGGGTGGGCGTTGGAACGACGGGTTGCGTGCGGATTGGCGTGTGTTTGGCGGGGCACCAACCCCCTATATCGATATCCGCGCCCACTACGACGTTACCCAACTGCAACGTCTGCTGTTGATGTTCTGAATGATGGTGATAATGCTGCAGCTGCTGTTGCTGTATTTGCGACTGCAATAGGATCCCTCCGAGAGGTTGGGGTTGAGGCTCTAGGGTCTGTACGTAACCTTCAACAGCCATCGATGACATTGTGGTCATCGACGGCGTCATCGATCCGAGCGACGATGACCCAACAACACCTCGCCGTACGGTGCCGTACAGCGCCGCGTTATTGCGCATGCTCCAGTACTCCTCGCAGTTGGCAACGCCCGGGTAGCCTTTGTAAGGGGTAGCAAGTGATTTAATGAACAAAGATGGAGATACAGAGAAAGAAATATTCTGATTAGTAAGAAAAACGTAATCATACCTCTGTCTAGATTTAGTATTTATCGCGTTCAGCTAACTCTTGCAGTCGTCGCATTTGCAGGCAAATAAGGGATTCTATCACTCGCGAGTAGTTTATTTTGGGTTTGTCTTACAGATTTGATTCCTAGTTTAGTTGTTGATGCCGCGAAAGTGATAGCCCAAAATAAGCGCCAAGTAGTCGGTTATACATAGAATAAAGTATATAAACCGTAGATGTCGAACGCATGAACTACTAAAAAAATTATGAAATAACTTCGTTAATTAAAAATTACTCAGCACGAAAATGTGTTTCTCAGAGTGAAAGGCACCAAGTACTTGTTAATATAGATGCCACGTAGATATATGCAACACGACTGTATCTACAAGTTATTCATTTTCAATAGGCGTAAATGTATTAAATTCTGGGCCATTCAAATCGATCATAATATAAACGAGATCCGAACTTAGATCCAAGTTCGGATCTCGTTTATATTATGATGACGAAGCTTATGCCAGTGGTGCCTTAGGTACCTAATATATTACACAAAAAGTCGTATATATATATACGTCTACTGAAGACTGCTGAAGTGTGGATCATAACCTCACACCTCCAGTTTCCTCATACCTCATAACGATCCAGTTTGAAGGACTTTTTGTGTAATATATTAGGTACCTAAGGCACCACTGGCATAAGCTTCGTCATCATAATATAAACGAGATCCGAACTTGGATCTAAGTTCGGATCTCGTTTATATTATGATCGATTTGAATGGCCCAGAATTTAATACATTTACGCCTATTGAAAATGAATAACTTGTAGATACAGTCGTGTTGCATATATCTACGTGGCATCTATATTATATATATATATATATATATATATATGTATATGTTAAAAAAACTAAGTATTTGTGTGTGTATTAGTTTATCTTTGAAACGCATATTAGTCGCTCAGATTGCATTGTTTGGCATTTGATGCTAAGTCGGGCTGCTCGTTATATTTTGGCAATTGATAGAATACATTTGAATAGAGTTTTTTTTTATTTTTGAACAAGTTTTACCACTTATGGATGATTGGTTAAGCAACCGGTTAGATTTTCTAATTTGTGTGGCCGTAACTACAAAGTAGGCATCCAGCTTTCTTATTTAACAAATGAAGAATAAAATATAATTGATTAAAGATTTCGTTTGATAAAGCATGCCTACGTGGAAACAGGGAAACGGATTTGTAACGATGAGGGAGGAAAGTGAAAACAGCGCGATAACGTGTCAACCGTCAACGTAAGAGCGGAGTTATTCATTATAGAAGTAAAAGATGACACTAGGTGTACACCTGAACCGAAGTACAAGTTAGCTAAGGGCCTGACAGTGGAGCGGTGACGCAGATTCAGCATGGAATAACTATCACTATAGGTTGGTTGTAAGCATCAATAGCAACTGCAACAGAATAATAGAATAACTGGGCCAACGCAACCGGGCCATTGGGACAAGATCGTAGCTTTGTCGAATTAGAGAATTAACAATTATCGGAACCAGACAGTTACAACAAATTAATAGAATAAGGAGGCAGAGACCAAAAGCAATCGCAACGTGGTAACTGTGACCCTCTAGGTTAGCAATATTCGATTAGAATGATCGAAATATCGACGGCTATGTTCCAGAAATGTGATTTTTTTTAAAGAACGAACAAAGTTTTTGTTGTTTTGTTTTTTTTTAAATGAAAAAGGAAACAAAGTTGATACAATAAAGCTTTAACTATATTACGTGTCATTTCTCACAAAAATTATTAAAATAACACGAATAACCGCGGGTCTCCTAAGCCTAAAGAATGCTGCAGAAAAAAAGAGCAGGAAAGATGCAGTGAGATAAGCGTTGATGCCCATTCGAGCAGCAGTTTACGTTTGGCTGGCTACATCCTTAGGCACACCTGCCAGTGAACCACATTAGGTAAAGTTAGGCAAGTGGTAAGTGGATGTTATCACTTAAGAACGTATCAAAGTAGAATACAATACACTTGATGCCATACCAAGTAAGTAGTGGTAATAGTAAGTAAATGACTAATATTCCGCATCCAGGTACATCTAGTATCAGACACAGATAGGCGGATAAAGTATGTTTGCGGATCACTTCAATGAGTAGCAGACAAATTACATAAGCAACTGGTTTTCATGGATCAAAATATCTTTCAGAAACCCGATTATTTTATTTTACCTACTTGTAGCAAAAAATGATTGTTCCAAGATAATTCTAACAGAAGTGGCCTGCAATAGATATAGTTCAGTCAAAATAAACTTTATTTGAACATACAAGCCCCAAGGTCGTTTTGAAGAAATTGAGGTTTATTAACAGTTAAATGAATTAACAACTAAAAGACGGCCGCATCTAGCGTAACTAAAACAGAGCAACAACAAAATGAATGTCGACACCAAGCTATTTTGAGCGCAGAGTAACAAATCTTAGTAGGTCTCGCCGTAGTAACTACTTGCCTTCTACACAATGGATACAGGGCAGTAATAAGTTCTAAATATATCTGTGTTTGTACCTCTATAATTTTATTACATAGTATTTGTGCTTTATTTATTGGGCTAGCAGTGTCCTGTAGTTATTCCTAAGAAAATGTTTCGAAGGCTGGCGACGATGAAGATGGGATGTTGTTTAGTTCGTTTTAAATGAATACACAGTGTTGTGCAGTAAACAACAGACTCGAAGCGAATGTGATTGTGTAGCAATAAAAATATGATGGCCTTATGAAAGTGAAGTCTTCAACACAACAAACAACATGCAATCTGTTTTCACGGAACCGGATGTGGAGGAGCAGTTTACCACATAAAATATAATTATATATGGGCCTAGACCTTGAAGAAACCCACGTTTTAATAAACTACTGTTCGAAACCGTCTTGACAAGGCGTACAGTTAGGAAGCGATTGGTCAAATAAAACTTGAATCTGTCGAACACTATAGGAGAAAAGTCATAGTAGGTCATTTTTTTTAAAAAGACATCGTAAAAGCTGATGTTAAAAGCCTTTGCGACATCTGTTAATTCTACAAGCGAGGCGTTCCAACCTTCGCCAGAGCGGATGATATGACTATATATATCACCAAGAACCAGATCACACACGCGGGACCAAAGAAAGCCGCAGTGCGCTCTTCGAAAAAAAAAAAAGATATTGAAAAAGTGAGTTCTAAGCTAACGTTTGACATATTTTTCAAAATTTCACATTAAGGCGGGTCATAGTTATATCTACCTAGTTCGTTGTAATATCACGGCCTTTCTTACCACCAAACGATAGGAAAACTTTGGAAAATCTTAAACGATGCTGGGAGGACAGAAGTCTTAAAAGATAAACATACGTACCAGGGGACAGGCAATTACATGCCAGGTTCGCTGGAAGATTTTCTGTAGAACAGTAGTAAGTACCTCACTGAAGCCAGCTTTTAAGGAAAAGCCAAACGACCAGATCTTCGGTGAGAGGTTATACGTGTTTTAATGTTGTTGATTGATATAATCACGGATGTACTTGTTTCTAAACTTGTTAAGCATACGCTTGGAACGCAACGAAGCTTCACCAGAAGGGTCAAAAGGATGAACCATTTACAATTGAAGAAATTTTAGTGGGAAAGTAGTATTCTAAGTATTATATAGGGTGTCGTTTAAGAAGTTAACTGCACATGCATATCTGTAAACCCATATATTAGTGACCAATCGACATGGGTAATTACGTATCGATTGAAATTATTTATACTAAGAATTCTTGCCGGACATGGACTCAGCTAGGTCTCAGAGGTGATTGTTCGTTGCAATTGATAGCTGCAAAAACAGAATAGTAATCGGAGAAGGCATCAAGCTGTGTTATCGTTGAGGTAACTTCAACTGCCAGACACATCAATCGGCATAAATATGCGATTTACACGCGATTCATACTTTTCTCTTGTTACCCCATTAATTACAGCCGGTAAACTTTTAGAGGAGAAAGGTAATAGACGATCTGAAGATCTGTCATCTGCTATTGACATATTCGTGTCGCAAGAAACTATCGTGGGTATATTTGTGAGTTGATTATAATATTAGGCATTCTAGTCACTATTTAATAGTTCTGTCCATTTTAGAATAAATGCCAATATAATATACTCGGTAGCCTGGCGCCTAGAGCAGCAACACTTGCCAGTCAGCCGATAAAAAGATTCAAAGGAACAAATTACAAAAAAATCGGGGAAAACGTATAGAGACACACACCATCACGGTAGCGCATAGGATAGCAACAATATTCAATCTGTAGTTGTGTGAGTTGTTCAGATTTGCACCTTAATGTCACGAATATTAATATGGATTAAGGTAAATTCTTGCAAGCATATTTGCCAAGTGGCTTAAACTGCACGTTAATTTGGTAACAGGAAAGCAAAGGTCATGTTCTACTGCAAATTAAGTGCACTTCCCTGGAAGGGTTGCTTACAGCAATAAACATATTTATTTCCAGGCGGTTACCTGTCTAGTTCGACAAACTATCGACGCATACGAATGTGACGTACATTCATGTACAACAGAGACAATTCGCCATTGAATAGAAGTAAGTATGTGAGGCGCCAACTCATACAGAGAACTCACAATATCGCTAAAAAGTATCAGCAGACATAATTATTATTTCTGTCGTTGGCTTATTTTTGTAACTGAAGGGTACTCCGGCATGCCGTTCAATTGTTTTTCCTGTGCTTTTCTTTTCGCATAAACAATTTGACGGCTCTATCTTAGTTCATCTCATCACCAGCACCGTCGTTATTGGTTACCATAGTTTGCTGGATACCTCTGTATTACTTCCATCCGGTCCTGTCATGTCATTCTGATCCCGCTGTTGGTTCAACGTCGCATGTTCAGCTAATACCATTGATACGACTCAGCTGTTGCATACTTGTGATGGCCAGGGGTTCTCAGAAATGTTTGGATAAGCTAAGTCTCCATTAAATTACTAGCCTTTTTTATGTGACAAATACTGGGTTGTCGCGCATTATGATAAAATTCGATATGGGCTGACTCATTTCTATGTTAACAATGCATATCTTCGTCCTGAGGACAATTGGCTTATTCTAGTGTTTTCTTGAGCATTAGTGTTAATAATACGACCAGGTTTTTTGAGCACGGCTTCCAAAGTTGGAAATAGTTACCAACAGGTAAATCATTCTGAGTTTCTTAAAGTCAGAAACAGTGTCTAGTATTCGGAAAACAGGGGCTACAAATTGCTGAAACCTATCAACGGCCTAGATAGTCTTGAAGCTTATTAGATATTTTTCTGTTACTGATTTGTTTGATCGATTTGAATTGCTTAAGTGGAGCAACGAGTGCGATCACATTGTCAATAATTCATTTTGCATTTACTGGGTTCTTCAAGACTAGCTCGAAATCGTTCTTTCAGTAAACTTGCCACTTTTACGGGTGACTGGTACATCGGACTCTAAGCTATTCAACACCCCGGTCCCATAACCTTCTACAATCATTTTTAAGTAGAAGTGTTACTTTCAGGGAAAATAACAGTCGCTTGTATGGAACAGTGCTAGCGCCGTTATAATAAAAAACTAATGAGCTGCATACTAATCAAATTCTTCTTTGACCAAATCGGCAACATGGCCAGGCGTCACAATAAAACGATTCTTCGGCACATAACATGGTTAATATTCGATGTCACCTACACAGATGAGCACAGCAAACAACAATTAATGAGAACATTTTTTGTTTACTAAGGTTTGCGTCATTTAGACGCGGATGCACAGAGCATTAAGCGCACTCAGCAAATTTTACTGAAATGGCAACGCATATCACGTAGCAATAACGTTCGCTAGACTAAATACAGTTTTCATATAGTAACCGCTCATATGTGAAAGCCATTAACAAATAACTAACAACTAATCTAGCGGCTCATTAAGTCGTGTCTGCTATGAAAATTTGTATGGATGCAGCGTATGTATCATATACAAAATTGAGCGACATTTAGTTTATTTATGAATATCTAGAGAACTGTGTTATTATTTTAAAAAACGACATGGGACTTCACTGGCATCGCATAGGTAACGGTCAAAAGAACCGTTCACCGTGACTCCGTTCGCATAACATTCACGTCGTTAGCACACTGAACTAGATGTGCATCGTTGATCTTCCAGCGATTTCACAACACAGTCCTATTAGAAGAGCAAAACAAAATTTAGAAAAGCCGATCTGATCGTTCATTTTTAAAATCATTCGTCTGCGTATCGCTGTATTGTAAATTCATCCGTTTACTTTTTTCTTACATTCTGTTTTTAAATATTTTGCACCATTTGCGGCATTGTATGTCGCCCACCGGGTTTCTGGCTGGGTCTCGCTGAACTGACTAGTAAAACCAGAGCGACTAACTCGAGTGGGTTTTCGACCAAAATTTCTAACAGACTGAGCTCAGTCTTGGGATTAGCTATTACACTGTGGAAATGCTACCGATATCAACCACAGAACACCACCGCTTGGCATTTTACGCGTGGAAGACCAAATTCCAAAGTGGGAATAAAGTCGGTAAACACCGATTGATGACTTCTGCACTTTCAAGACAGAAGGGGTTTTACGGGTTCCTGGCAGCCCATTCACGACTTATCGAACCGTTACCGTAATCGATTTCTGAGAGATTTCGCTTACCGACGGAGTTCATAGCTGGTTCGGCCGCGGTTGCGGCCACAGGGCCTACCGAACGACACACGAAGCCCCCAGGAAGCCAATTCGAGTAGAAGCACCTCTTTATTCTCACAACAATTCACCCTAACTGGACTAAGCTTTGCTGCTAATACTGTTGCTTTGTTTGTAGTACACGTTTGTTGCTTTGCTCTCAACGCACTAGCCCAACACCATTGTAGAGAGCAGCAGCAACGATAGTCACACACAGCCATCGATAGCCAGACCCGCGCATACTCTTGGTCGCAGCTCATGCACACATCCAAGTCACCAACAACATCACCATTAGGTAGATCCAGTTTGCTCCCGCTTGACAGTGGTCTCGGCCACGCACTGGCGAGAGACCAACCGAGGAGAATCTGCCTATAGAAGTTTGGCGCGCATGCGCCACCAATCTCTAACACACGCAACGAACGAAACCTCTGTTTTGTTTTCGGAACAACAAACCAGCGGGTGGGAAGCGATAGAATGTGGCTTACCTGGCCCAAAGGTAGACCAAGTCCCGATTGTTATCGACTATGCTATTCAGAGCTTTTATACTCTAACTTTAATTAACAACCCTGTGCTAAATATGTGTAAAATCGACACACACAACTAACTTGATGCGCGCTAGATTATGTATAGTGTCTTGACGTTCGAAAATGTCGCTTACCCAATTGACAACGGACTATTAGCCAGACTTGGAAAGCGCGACAGACAATCCGCACTTTACGAAGTGCGTTCCGAGAATTAGAACATACGCGCGTTTGGCGCGAAACAAACAATAACGGACCGCACTTTGCCGAGCAATGCTATTGCCTGCGCGCCGGTAGACGGGCTGTTCATTAAAAAAACGTATCGCAGCTGCGATAAATAACTGAATTCGGAAGGCAGTCTTAAAAGCGGAAACATTCTGTTATATGTGCTCTTGCGTAATAGTTGTTTTCTGGACTGAATGTAATAATCTCTTATAAATCGTTAGATTAGTAGGGATTTTTGATTTCACACACCATTTATCGATGTCGAATATACGGGTGTATCTGTTGCTATAATTAACGATATCGGCCTAGCACTCAGTTTACTTTACAAATACTAATAATTATAAATAAATAAAAAATAATTTTGTATAGATGTTTAAATAAATTTAGAATAGAAGTATGAAACACAACTTCTAAATATTAATTATCAAAATTAAAAGAAGTTCAAAATTTTCAAAAGTCCAAATGGTTTTCTTCCTAATATTTTAGATGCTCAGTTGACCGATTTGTTAATCCAGCCCCTAAATTCATGGTACATATGTCTTAAAGTACCTAATAAAGTGCATTTCGTTTCGTAGATATTTTCAGTCTCATTCACTGAGTCCTGTATGTGTACTTGTTATCCGGAATTCAGTTTCATATCTATTAACTACTGAATCGAGAGAGGCTTCCTTGCCTGTACAGTGCATACTTCGCTGAGCCTGTTGCACGAAACCTTTCGTCGAGTGCACAGAAGAATAAAAAGTAGCGTACATTCTGACATATCAGTTAAAGTAGTTAGTGGAAACATATGCGTATAAATTTCCTCATACGTAATATATCAAGAATATGAATGAGTTGAAATTATTGTATCCTTTAAATATAAGGCACTTTTACATTTGATATGTTACCTGTAAAGCTTCGTAGAAATGGTTGTCATGTTCAGTGAGCTCCCAACAATCTGATAAATATAATATAGTGGATATATCATCTTTGGAGTATGATAGCTTCGAAATGAAATCAAATAAGTCAAGAAATTTGTACCGAGTTAAAAGTAAGAGTTTTTTACTCTTTTCCCTCGTCTTTTTTCTCGTCTTACGGGTCTTCAATGTGAAACTGTTTTTGAACTATGAGTGAAAAATTTTTTTTACTAATTACTTCTAATGACCCCAAAAAAGGATACAAGATTTTCATGTCGTTTCTCATCTCCTTTCGTCATCTCGAAAAAACTCGTTGTTTACGTAGTAACCGAGAAAAACGAATTTAACCAAACTCTAAAAATCTACATTCGAAACGTTTCATATTCGCGGTACTAATTCCACTGCATCCCTGGATAGCAGGTACACATGAAGGTAATCAGCAAAAAGACTTCTGCTTCGAATTCATAGGTTCAGCTCGCTAGACAAGGACCCACATATTTTTTTTTCGATAAAAAGTCTTTACCAAATGTATCTATTAACGCTAAACCTACTAATACCAGATAATTTGAACGTTTTTATTATTTATTTAAAGTTGATAAAAAAGAAGTGGGTCAGCGTGACCACACTTAAAGAAACAGTGGCTTGATAAGTCTTCAAATATCCGATTACTTGAAGTTGAATAATTTTTATGTAAAAGTTTTATCGAATAATTTTCTATTATGCTCGACTTTGACCGGTTCCCAATAAACATGTGTCCATAATGTAACATTCAACATTCTTAAAAATTAAACCCCATGACGCCAGCACTGCTTTGGACATTGTTGATGTAGCTACAGTAAGGTATAATACACAAAGCAAATTTTATCTTTAAAATTACGGATATAATCTCAAATACCTACTCAACGCAAATACTATGTACAAAACGTTTTTTCGTAAACTTGTTCAATCACGCAGATGCATGCTTTGATTCAACCTTAATCTCTTGTGTACTGTAAAGGAACAAGTATCTAGTCAGACAAAAAAAACACACTTTTTCTTTTCGAGATCGTAGAATCTCATTTATTATTACCTCGTTCATTTTTTCTTCCTTGATTTTATTTTGCAGATTTAAATTACCCTATGCATAAATCTTCGTCATGGTAAATACATCACTCATTAACCATTATTATATCATCGACGTATCGTGCGTCATTGGCTAGCTTGTTATTTTACTTGTTGTTGCTGTTATTCAAACCCATTGGATGGCATTATCAGTGCGTGACTTTAATTTTTTTATGGTTATGCTTCACACCGCTTTAGTTTCACTTTGTCTATACTTACATTTACTGTTCTTATTATTTTTGTATTACAACTAACGACTCTAAAACCACCGTCGTGTCCTTAAGCGGCCCGACCCCTTACCGTCGACTCATCAGCGAGCGTCACCAAGCTGATCGCACCACAGTATGCGCTAACTCGGGAGCTGCTGTTGGCTGTCATGTTTAGGTATAGGTTAAACACGTTGCCTGCATTTTGTGGCTTCGAGTCGGTGTAATTCATAGAGACGAAATACTGAGCGCATAGACCATCCGGTCCCGTCGTTCGCCGTGCTTCAAAGGCTAGATCCAATTCGAACTCAGTGCAAAAGCCACATAGTCACATACGATGAGCACTAACGCTGTATGAAGCATTGATTAATCGCCATGGCTACAATTATATAGAATAGAGAAACTCCAGGGGACAATACACTTTATTGTAAGTAGCAGGACCAGTGGTGGAAATGCACTGAAAATTGATATTTCAGCTCGGGGGATCGATTAAACGCGCAAAGAAGATAAAAATACATGTCTACATATTTAAATTTCAACTAGAGCTCAGTTCTAAGCCTAATTTTAAAGTTTATTTTACAAGAAACCCGATATTATAGTGTAATTGTTTTGAGAATTTCTCAAAAAATAAAGGGCTATCCAATTCATACATGGACAGTCAACGTGATCTGCCGATAAACTATTGTCGGTTACTTCTTAGCCAACAAATGGCACTCAGTTAAGCCAAGTTCTGCTTTTTATCTTCATCGATTACATTGCACTTTACAATATCGTTCAACGCATATTTATATACTTCTCTATGTTATTATTTCTTTGTATATATCATCCTTACATCAGCCAAAAAACAACTAATAATATTTTGTGTTTGTTACTTTGCAAATGAACAGGTTGCAATAGAAAATCTAACTGAGACGGAACATCCGGCTATTTCCACGATCAGAAAAATACTTTGGCTTACACCGATTTTGAAAATTTGCGCGAAAGTCCACGTATTTTTATAAATACCAATGATAAAAAATGTGTCACGCTCATACTTTTTCATTCACAAGGTTATATGTTTAAAAAAAAAACACCTAAAACAGTCAAGCAGTGATCTTCCTCAAGTCACTGCGTGCCTTGTCGGCTTGGTAAGCAGCCATGTATGGTTGACACAACAGTAGAATCAAATACTACATTACATGACGTTTATATAAAGATATACACTTCGTAACGTTTGCTTAATGAGTAACTTAATGTTTTATTGAAGCTTCAGCACTTGGACAATTGTTTGGCAGGAAGAAATTCACTAAAAAAACGTTTGGTTGGTCGGCGATTGATTATCTGTTTTTTTATAGCAAAATAAATTAAAATTGTGATATCTATACTAATATTAGGTAGCAGTGATACTTGGGACATATGGCAGCATCTCACAGGAAACTTCGGGCTCCAAGATTGCAAGCTTTGTCAGTTGTTTGACAGCTCCTCTTTCGATCTAGGCATACGATTGTCACAACAATAATGGCTTACCACTTCAATTACTAATGTTAGAAATGATTCACGTGCTTACAATAGATGATTGCCACTCGTATGATTGAAACCCAATGAAGGAAACGCATATTCTTGACCAAGCAAGTTATTTCGAGAATTGACAATTCTTAAATACCTCAAAGTAAACCGACTTTAAAATGATAAATCGCGCTTTTCATTGATTACCTTGAATCGAGGTCAGCTTCTTCGTTTATCCATTTATGATATTAAAATTTTTAGCACAATATGGACGTAACTGCTTGTCAGTTAAATGATTAAAAATAGATTCGATGTTTAGAAAAATATATTATCATTATTACCCGGTTTTATGATCCGTCGGGAATGATTTGTACTTAGGTTTTGATATTTTAGAAATTTTAACGACTAACATAATTGCTGAGATGGATCTGGTTGTTTGTTTCAGGTAAGTTGTTCGAAATATAATGGCATATATTTATTTTTGTAGATGGTCGAAACCGATGTTTAGGATATTTTTATTTTCTTCCGTTTGTGCATTGTGTGCTCTCTGCTGGAAAATGAGTCAACTCCTCACTTCTTCGTCCATTTTGAGAAGATCGACCGTGCAGCAGAATAATTCATTAATGTCTGTGTAAACTTTTGAACAAAATGCTTATAAAGTATATGCTGTACTATATATAGTATGCTCTATCGTTACAGTATCGTTAGACTTAGTGTATAGGTTTGCGTAAAATTGTCTCGGAAAATAATTACTTTGTTACTTTATACAGTACTAGTAGCAGCAATGGTTTCTAATATGAGGGATGAGAAGGGGATGTTTTTTGTCTCACGTTTCTTGTATAACCTTAACTTGCAATTCCATCATCCGTATAGTCGTGTTCATCAAAACGATCCTATTTTTCATGAGATTGTCAAAATACTAAAAAACAGTAGTTTTTTGCAATTAGTTGCACCGCACATAGAATCTCGATACCCTTTTGCCTTGTGCTTGAGCTGCCCGTGAGCCCTAAGCTTGTTGTACAGCTTTCGGAGAGAAGCCTCCTTCCGTACCTTCATTCAAAAATAGGCACGTTATCACTCTACAAACGCGAGTCAAGGAAGAAGAAGAGAAATAATCCGTTTCTCAATCCGAGATATCGCAGATACCAGTCCCACAGATACATACATGCACACATGTGACGATAAGACGAACGCTTCATACAAACAAAATTTAACTAGCAATCATTACTAACTTTTTAGGCTTATCTCACTATGTGGCCAGAGTGAGTTCATAATGATTTACTAAAGCCTTGTATAATATTATTGTATTGTTTACTACAAGTTGTGATTTATCTTTCAGCCAGCACACACCTGCCATCAGTTTGCTGCGAAGAAATTAGAAAACACCGCGCCTTTTGGCCACTAGTATTTACATTAGGAGCACAGCGGCATCTTCTGGGTGCACCCATCAACTATTCACTAGTACCGATTGGTCTCAAAAGTCTAGATTACTCCTATTGTAGATTTACGATTTATGATTCCGGTGTAACATGCTTCCACAATAATCCGCAAATTCGAGATAAACCTTTCAGCATGCAAATGTATAATGAATGCATGTTATACCCAACCATATATATCAGTGGCGCGAACCATGAATTTAAATCTAATATTGATTTAATCACGGAGTTCACCGCAGCAATATATAATATTTCTCTCTCTCTCTCTCTTTGTCGAGACGATTTGTACCACAAGCTTAATTTAATGAACTATTGTTACTCTTAATATAATAATAATTAACATAACAGCTATGTCTCTTCTGTCATTCAAGCTTTTTTGTTACATCTAATATTTAGGTTTTAAATGCGGAAGAGAGCAATTACGAAGATTCACTTTGCCTTTGCGTCTACAGTTAAATTGCTCACAGCAGCTCGATCAATGTACAACATAAGTCTAGTAGCTTAATAATAATAAAAACGTAATTTTCTGACGCGTTCCTACCGTTTGGCGATATGGGCATCGCCAAGCATGCACCGCCAGTCGTATTTCACATTGCTAGCATGGGTGAGTGTTTCAAACGACGGGGCTACAAGACCCCATCTGGGCACGCGACTCGGTTCTTCCTCGACACAAGCTACGCCGACGTACGGAATTTTATGAACAATATGGACGAGCTCTTGAGGCGTCCGCATGCGGCCCCCTGTCAACTGTCGAGTGCATACGTCCAGCGTAGCCGAATGACCTAAAAACATAATATCACCATCAACCTGCTTAGAAGTTTCGAGTAGTGTCTGAGTGACAATGTGACTTCGATTAAAGTACTGTTCACAAGACTCGAATTTTTTCGATAAAAGTTCATCGACCGACACCAGTGGCTTATAAGTTGGATTAATAGGGAATCCAAATTCTTTTAGCTCCATCGGCTTAAACCAAACTGGCTGAACGTCGGGGTACCAGGCTAGCCATTCAAATAGACCTGGTTCGATATTGATCAATGTTGCCGATTTTAAAGCTTTGAGAATATTAGTCGCGGTTTGCACGCAACGTAGTGATGGTGAACAGAATACTTGTGAAAACCGTACGCCCGCTTCGTACATTGCTTCTCCTGTTAATGTGGCCTGGAACAGACCTATACGGGTAAGTGGCGAATCTTTCAAGTAGTCCATGGGCTTACGTGGTAAAACCGTTTTCGGCATGTTAAGATCCTTCGGCGCATAGTTTCCTTGCTGATCGAAACAGGCTTTTATCCAGGGTCCGAATGTGAAATCAATTCGTTCAGCATGCCGTACCACATACAGGCGCTTCAGTCGCCGCTCACCATTAGGCTTCAGAGATAGGAAGTTGACATTTTCATAAAGAGTGTCCTCTTTCGGTGAGGGCGGGTCGCAGCTGTTGCTGCTAGCACCTGAATTCGTTGAGCTCAATTGTGGGACGTTTTTCCGTTCGACAGGTGTCGGTTTGATGCTGTTCGTCGCCGCTGGTTGAGTTGTTTGAGCAGGAGTAGCCGGCTGTTCCTGTAAAGATTGAACGGGTACAATACTCGAGAGAGGTGAACTTGGCGGGCGGGGCATGTCATCGCTGAACGTGCTTTTGCAAATTATGAAACTCTTATGCAACGTCCATGCATCAGATTCCGCTGTACGCTCGATGTAGTTTTTTGGCAAGAAACCTGAACAACCAGTCAGCCACGACGTGCCTTCTACCCAGCCGTCCGTTGATTTATTTAGCTTGTCACCATTGACGTACACAAAATCACCAATTAGCAGCTCAAGCTCATCGGCTTCATGTGGTACATGCGAATATAGCACTTTATGCACTTCATTTCCTTTTACCCGTGTATCACGTGAGTAGAGCCTAAGCTCCCAGCATGCCGGCGCTTCGGTATCAATCATTTGCGTAAGCTTCTCAAGACTGCCGTAGTGAGCAACATCGAATTGATACGCTAATGTTACATGAAGCGCTTTAAGGTACGGCTCAACGCTTAACTGTAGATCTGCTGTCTCGCGCATAAATGCCACACTGATCTTCTTCAGCATTTCGTTGTGTTTCTGGTCGACAAATAGGCCGAGGAACGTTTGCGATGTGTAGTGTTCAAGGCGGATCTTCTCGGGTAATTCACCACGGAGACGTTCACAAATGACCTCCAATGCACGAACGATTTCGGCTACACCATCATCTGGCAGTTGAAAAAACGAACACAACGTGATGTGTGGTAAATAATTGTGGGCACCATTGCGTTCATGTTGTAACATCGACTGTAAGAAGAAGTTCTGCAACTGGCCAAGCAGTGGTCCAGTCGGACAAAGATAGAGTATATACTCCCGTGGACTGCAGCTATCTAACGTGGGATCGTTGACATGCGACAGAAGCCAATCTGCAGCTAGTTGAACGCCTCGGTCACCTGTCGCTGCGAGAGCTTTCTCTGCGCGATGTTTTGGAAATCCCATCTGTAGCAATACCTGGAGTGCCGTTTGTGGATTCCGGTTCATTCGACCTGAGGTTCTCCGTGGAGGCGGCAGTAGGACGGCCGCCATGGTCAGCGCTGGCTACCACCCCCTGCGCACTTCACGATGCCATGAAACGCACACAACAACAATATGACAGTCAGTCGAATGTCTGAGCAACGTCACAGAAGCCCGTTTACTGCAGTGCTGCCCGCTTGACAACAGTTGCTAAGGTCAACTCGTTCTCTTAAGAGTCCACCTTAATCGAGTAATATACACACACATCAACACACACTCTTCAGAGCGGAGCACCGAGATTACCTCTCGCAGCACCCTAGTACCCGCTTATAGCTATACTAATGCTGCAATCTACGCCAATGTTTTATGTGTTTGTGGCCACGACGGGTCCGTTTGTAAACCACTTTTACAATTAGGGCAGACGACGCGGCATAGGGCAATAGAAGCTTTGCTTGTTTGACGCTGCTCTCAACAGTATGTAGTAGAGACTATCTCTCAAGAAAAACAAGTAAGATATCTACTAAAAAATGTCACACTTGACAGCTGTAGCATCAGAGCAACAAATTTTGTTTCCGAATTTCTTTCGTTGTTTGAAGCCAAAAGAGCATGGTACAGATCAGTGTAGGCACGATCGAAGCTTCTATGCTAGTCGAGTTTATTCACATAGTGTTTTGATTTTCTCGCCGGCAAGTCGTATTGTATCATATTTGTCTACTTTCCACAAATAAAAGGTGAATCAGGCCTTTTCAGTATATTATTATATTCACTTGTTACTGAAATCGCCATACCTCAACAGTCGTTTCCGGATGAGTCTGTGAATATTGCTGAACGAAGTTAACGATCATGCCCAAATATTATTGTGATTATTGTGACACCTTTCTGACGCACGATTCGCCGTCAGTTCGGAAAACTCACTGTGGTGGTCGAAAACACAAAGAGAACGTTCGTTTTTATTATCAGAAATGGATGGAAGATCAAGCACAGGTAAGTACAGGCATCTAGAAGGTGCGCTTCGTCATTGTGAATCAGAATTTTCACCAACTAATGATTTCATGTGGATTTTCATTCAGGTAACTTCCACTCACCAACACGATAAGTTTCATATAAGCGTCACTGAACGTGAAATAATTAAGGTTTAGGCATGTAAAGAATATATTTCGAATAATCTCTACTTTCGTTTGCATAAGGATTTACCAACCTATACCTTATTCAATTAGCATCTTTATAATTTGTATGGTTTACGATTTGAAAAAGTTTGAAAGCTAGACTAGCAAAATTGGTTACATCTCATGATACGCATAGAAAACATTCTAAGTTTTATGAAATCATTAGGTTAATCCGCAAGCTTAGCCCATCCCCACCGGTATGTGACTGAAAATGTGAGAATGACTCGTCGCATTGAAGAAAATTGAGCGTGGAGAAAGAGGTTTATTTCTGCCATTGGGTGTTAACGTTATGTTATTTTTGTTATTATGTTTCAAATCTTTCAACTTCCGCTTTCTTCGAATTATATAGTAATTGCTACTGAATTGATTCTTTCATGAAAGTCTGTAAAATCAGAACGTATCTCATATACTGAACATAACGTATTTCACCGAGAAACTTTGTGCAGTGTTCACCGCTTATATATGTATAGATGAAGCAGTGTATGTCGTTGAGATTAGTTTACCGTCTAATTAGCTGCAGTGTGTCGCTGTTCGTAACCAACCGTCGTCGTAACTCCCTTACTAATATTGATACTTACCATATGATTATCATAAGTGACCTCGTTACATAATTAGTACATAATTCAGAAGAACCAGATAATGCTGGCAAATAGTTCAACTGCACTTTTTTCGAGCTCGGGATGAATAGAAAACTTTTGTTGACGTTTGCCAATGCCTCGTAGTTGTATACCGGTTAGCATTAACTCGAACCCTTCCGCTTACACATTTAACGCTAATTACACCTTTTGCTAGATCTTGATTATAGCATGTGTTTGAGCATATCAATCCTCTTTGCACTTGTTTCTTTCTTTATTATCGCACAGAGCTGAAATTTCGCATGTGTATTCAACACATGTATATTAATGTTGCAGTCAGTCATAAAAGATACCAAATGATGTCATATTCAATGGAACATTCTTTGAGAACAAGTAGAAACCTAGCGTCTAATATTTTTTGACATTGTTTTCTTACTCTCAAAATTTCAGAACCTCATAGACCAAACAACAGCTGCCTTTAAGCAGGGGAAGATGGCTCCGCGATCTGGAGCGATGGTGCCTCCTCCGGGTCAGCACCTCAACAATCATCCTGCACCAGGAAATCAGCCCGGACCGATGACTGCTCCCGCAGGACCGGGAGGTCCCCCCGGCGTTCACCAGGGCCCACCAATGATGATGGCCCCACCAGGAATGGGTCCGCCGGGAATGGGAGGTCTACCTCCTGGTATGCCTCCTATGCCTCCAATGGGACCCCTTGGTTTTCCAGGTAAAATAATTCGCAACGAGTCAACCCCTTGTTATTAACATGTATTAAGACAGCATCGGTTTTTAGCAATTTTTAAACAAAAAGGGCTTGCAAATAGAAACGCAGTTTGATGAATAATTTTTCCTAGATAGGCCCTAAGATTACTGAGAGTTACCACTTGTGGTATTTTTACGAATATATATGCACCTATTCGAACTAAGATCACATCAGAAAAATAATATTTAAAAACACTTAGTTTTGTGCGTCGAGAATGCTAAACGTAATTAATGTTATCATTAGAAGAGTAAACTCGGGAATTTTGTTGCCAGGAATGCCTGGAATGCCGCCGATTGGACCTGGTATGCCACCGATGGGCGGAATTGGCGGGCCTATGGGGGGACGTCCACCAATGCTTAGGCCACCGGGTGGAAGGCCTCCCAACTTTGGCGAATTTTGATCGTTCAACTCCCGAACTACGAGTGTGGTTAGGACATTGCGGGTGGTACGTGTAGCTGCTGTACAATTCACGAGCATGAAGACATAGATAACAAAACATATGTATTGTATAACTAGACAATAAAGTATATATCAGCATTATTTTCACTGAATATCTGTAAACACTTTGTTTTCAATGTAACTTGCCTGAGAAACAGACCTCTAATAAACGAAAACATGAAGTTTTTTATTGAAATTTCTTTTTTTTATCGTTTCCTGTGAGATCTCAAAGTACTGACAACGACCGTGTCTAATGAGTGCTACACTGCTTGATGAACGTATCGCAATCTTCGCTGCCTTTAATCATAGTTGGTTCAATCAAGTGTTTGTTATTAAGCTAGAATTAATAGTTTACAATATATTGAATGATTCAACACAACAAGCCTTGACGAAAATGTGCGCATCCATACGCAGTACGACTGGATTCTACGGTATATTCATCCAATTAAGCTTTACGCAGAGATAAGGCTAAGGATAATTGACGAAAAACTTCGTCGCCTTCAAAAGTCTGGGCGTAAATAACGCCGTAAAATATAATGGAGGTTCGTTTGGAGAACGTACAGAAAGTACAGCAAAAACTTGAATTTTTTTTCTTTCAATTATTTTTATTGAAATTTTACAACCATCACGAGTCGTTATATCTCCTCTAGCTGTTGGCGCTCTTCCAATTTTTGGACACTGACATGGATTTTTTTTTTGAAGTACGTGTATGCATTTAGATTTTTTTTCACTTTTCATTCTTATGCCCATGCTATTAGGATACTTCTGAATGCTACGTCTGTTGTACATGCCGTCACCCTGTTAGACATTGCTTTAGGCGAACAGCAAAAAACGAGCCATGTCCACGCTCAGATTCAAACCTAGGCTACTACGTCATTGCCGCACTATTAAGGAAACTAGATCGTGTTCTGCTTTCACTTTAATCATATTAAGTCAGACAAATCAACAACGGAAGCCGGTAGACATCGAAATTTTTGTCATTTAGTGGTGTGCAGGTATCTCTAGTCAGCCGTGTTACATGAAAATGATTTTATTTATTTACACAAATATGAAGGGAAGTACACGTTTCAGTAAATTATAATATTCTTTATTGGGGCGTCCGAGCTAGGAATCTAACATAGGACTGTCATACATGTAACTTGAATGAAATCTCTTTACTGGAAGACGTTTGATACGGTTTTTTCTAATCGATTCTATTTTTGCTTGAGAATTAGATCGTGGAAATTCTAGGCGGGCTTTCTTTTAAACTACATAAGATACCCTAAACGAACTAAAGAATTTTATTAAATATAGCAAGCATTTTAAAGAAAATAAGAGTTTAAATTTCCTCGTCATATTTGTAAGTAAGGCATACATATAATAAACTCAGACCTGATACATGGGCGTGCCATAATCATGTATTTCTTCTGTTTATTCTTTTTCAAGGAGCAAGAACGTCCATTCGCCGAGTAGAAATGCACGAGATACAGATGTAATCGAGGATACACTCGATTCTTTTGAAAAAAAATGCTTGCTTTTTGTCACACATTATGCGCACTCAGCCCAAATAATTCAAAATGTACTGAAATAAGGCCTGTTTCTAGACTAAATGAAAGCACCGTGTTTTTGTTAGTGTTGTAGTTGTTGTTGCTTCTGCTGCGACGGTTTTTATTGTTATTATTGTTGTCACTGTCTTTTTTCCGTTTTGTATGCCTGCCTGTCTACCAAGGACCTATTGGACGAGTGTTTGGCCCATAAATTTGCCTGTTGTAGTTCGGGTACCTTATCACGAATAATACTACCGTCCTCTAACTTGTAAATATATGAAGTATTTGAAATGACAATGTCCTGAAAAATAGAAGGAAAAATTCACATTTGTTGCGGATACATTTTAGAAGGTAGGTAACTATTTATGTTTGAATAGTGTACGTTCTGCTTCTGTGAATGAAACAACCTTATTTACTTTCCACAGAGTTATATGACGTAAGGTTGCCTATGCGAATACAGACAAGAAACGGACAGATTTTGTGAATGAGCTAACACACTATTGCGTTAGAATCGGCAAACGTTTGACTTGCATTTGACTAACTTACCATACATTAATGTAGTTCGTCCTGGGTCAGTGGGGCACTGGGCGTTAAGATAGCCTGTAAAGCTGTCTGTAGAAACGGTCCAATGACCTACACATCGCTCACCTTTAAATGATAAAGTGTTATGGGTTCGACCCTCCCGGGGGAAATAGTCGTGTATTTTGCTATTATGAATATCTTCAAACGGTTTACTAAAGGAACGTAATTCTGTGAATCCATTATACATATATCGTTTGCCCTACACGATCCATTTTGAGCAAGAGTCTTCTATGGATCGACATATATTCAGCGGTTAGGGTACCAAAATAAAGCTGATTGTTTTACCCACGAAACGTACATTTTTCAAACCTACGTAAATTCAGATAAAATATGTAAAATTAGAAAATGCTCTTGGACGCTAGAAATGTATGCCCTACACTAGGAACTGTCTCAGGGTTTGTCGAAAAATTTTAAAATTAAAAGTTGTAATTAAAATAATTTAGTAGATATTTAAAAACGAAGTCTATCTTTCTAAGTACTTACAACTAGGTATAGTATAGCTCGGAGACGCAAAAGGTGCGCGAAAGCATTAATTAACAGTTTTTAAAATTAAGAAAGCCACTATCGGTATCTATATGTATTTTATCAGTTGAACTTCACATAAGGCAAATTATTACTAGGTGCATTTCATCAATCACTCATTCATTTACTTTGAATTGAATCCAATATCTGGGCTTTAAGCTAAATATTGTTTGCTATCGAACGCTAAAATTTTAGATCCGTGTTTCCCTTACACTATAATTATTTATTATTACTGAACTATATTAGCACTGTATTTTTTTAAGGCTAAATGCATCGATCTAGAGTAAGCATTTGCATCTTGTTAGCCTCATCATACAACCACATAAGCCTGATATTGTACGTATAAATGGGTAAACCTACAGTTCCCAAAGGATGCCAACTTTAGTATACACTGTCTAGGGTACGGAAGTGGATATTGGAGGCTGTCACAAGTGAGCAAAGAGGCCAGATACTTGCATTAATGCTGTTAGGATCCTTCGTTTTGAAAAGATTCAGTATACTCAGAACGATGTAAAAGGTCGTCATGAAATCTTTCATGTTGACCTTCACAATGGGTTGCATTATTAGTTTCGGGTCGTTTATCTGCGCATGTATGAGGGAGAATCCTCTAAATATGCAATAGCCGTATATATCAAAGAAGCAGTAGACATGGTGCAATTCGTATGGACAACTGAGTCTTCAAGCCGTGTCATCATATGTGAAGCTCCAGATGAGAGAACGTTATGAAGGGAAATTATTGGTTGAACCTAGTATAAGTTTAAAGCATCAAATTTTTGGAGTTTTAGATTTTTTTTGGTTGATTTGTTTTTAATCTATCTAAGTCCATTCGTTAATGGTACTTAGAAAAATCACTTCTTATTGACGCCCCTTAGTAGAGTTAAAAAAGGAATACATATACAAATGAATAGCAGGGTCAATTTTGTCATTACTATTAACCATTTATGGTATCTAATAGATTCAAACCTTCGCAGCAAATTTAAAACGGCCCGTATATCGAAAAAAAAAAGCTTCTGTAAAATCTTAATAAAGCACCGAAGGAAAATATATGGCAACCTACCATATGCGCTTCTAAGATGATTCGAATAGAAATCAAATTAGTATTGATAATAACGGCTCGGCTTGGTAATAATATCTTTCGAGAAAAACCCATATAATGACAAATATAAAGACACAACATACAACTAAGCTTTTGGCTTAGGCCCTTTTCTATAACAATGCAGTGTTACATGTGTAGCGCAGGTGTAGGTGACAGGTGTCTCAGTAAGGTCGAAACAGATGACGGAGACTACATGACCGTATACACTAGACGTTAGGTGAAATCAAGCAAATAAACCCCGTTGACGCGGCCGAGTTAGCCAATAGCATGTAACCAAGTGGTCCTGACACCAGGCTTTTGCAAAAACACCCAGGTGCAAACACATACACTCAAACGAGTCTTATAATGGATGCAAAAAGTTAATACGAGGCTTTAGCAATCCCACATGAAAAAAGTGCGTAGATAATGCAGTTTCCATTTTCAACGGTGGCTCAAATTTGGCCATAAAGGGCACATATTAAGTTATTTGGCTCAGCTTGCACGAAACCCTTATCTTTTACCTAACCAGACTTCAATGCTTACCATAAATAACTTCTCAGCTGCTTTCGTGTAGCATTACATACAAACATTGCATCTTCATAATCGAATATGTGATCGCCGTCATGTGTTGTTGTATTAATTTGTCAGCCACATGGGCAAAAAACGAGTTGGCATTTTGGGACAAGCAAGCTTAAAGCGATATCTTTTGATATAATACTTTCTACAACATTGTCGCTTTTCTGTGACTTTGAGCAGTTATCTATAATGAGGCGCAATGGGAGAATGAGAAGAAAGCTAATAGGATCCCAAAGAAAGAGAAAGTGAGAGCCCTTAGCGTACGATATTTCAATAGGAGCTACGAAGGCGAGACCAAGGTGTCCCGGAAAAAGTTTACATAACAGCCTATAGTTGTTATAGACGTACGCTCGCAATAGCTACAGGCTGAATAATAACACGAAGCCTTGCTAATCCCTCGCCTAATTTTTATAAATGAGCACGGAATTTTGTACAGTATTTGGACTCAGCTTTGTAACTTTATAGAATTTTACATGTAGATCTCTAAAATTTGTCATACAAATTAGAATATAAACTCGTAAACCCCACATGTCGTAGTATTGGATGTGTCTGATTTTTGCAGCAGGACTAGTGACACGAGGCTTCCATGCGTGTGCATGACAAGTTTTGACCTTCCGGTGGTGCCATATATGGGGGGCATATACGCCAGGAGATCGGGGTCGATGGTAATCTCTTCGTATGCACCTTCTGATGAACCACTACCAGAAGCACGAAGCGTTCCAAATAATATAATTCGGCTATTTGCACTTTTATAAGTCATTGTCATTATAACTATCATCACCAAAGACGACTAAACACTGACTATACCATAAACGTTTCTATCTGAGTCATTTTCTGATAGGCGGTTCACTTTCGGTTTCGTACT